ATATAAAAATACAAAAATATGTATAAAATTTGGTATAATGTATAAAAACATGTAAACATTTTGTTTATTAATTAGAGAAAATAATTAAAGAAAATAAATAGAAGAATTTAGTACCGGTGGCGCCATCTCGCGTTTGGACGCTGGAAGCTCCGACTTGTTACTAGCATAGCAGGATATGCAAGGAGGTATTCGTGACGTCACACTAGGACATAAGGATAGCAATATTGTGCGAGAAGGACAGAAATATTAATATGTCGGAAACATAACATTGAAAATTAAATAATTAATTATTATTTTTCTACTGAAAACTTCTGCAAATTTAGATTCATATCTTAAAACTGAGACTTCAAAGAAGTTTTTCATATTAATTCTAATTTAAAATTCTTTTCAATTAATTATTTATTAATAATAAATATCTCATCGTGCAATTCATATAACCGATATACAATGTATTTTTCATTAATTTTACGTTATTGCAAGATTTATTTCTAAATATTAATATATGCATTTTAAACGTTGTTTCCTTCCCTACATTCACATATAATTTTTATTCATAATTTTGCTGTTATTTTAAAGAATAAATTGATTATATATTACTCGATTACGAAGTAAAAGTTATCGACTGAAGCACTCTCTATAATAATCATTTATAAATAATTAATTAAAAAGAATTTCTTATCAAAATTTATACGAGAAAGTTATTTGAGGTTCTAGCTTTGAGATACAAGCTTAAAAGTACAGAAATTTTTCCTGATTAATTATTTATTAATGATTATTATGAAGAGTGTCTCACGCGCAAACCCATTATTCCATGGTCGAGTAATAAACAATCAAATTAATCATTTAAACAATAACAAATTTATAAATAAAAATTATACGTGAAAACAGAGGAAGAACTAACCTTTCAATTAAGTATATTTATATTTAGAAATAAATTTCGTAGTAATGATAAATTAACGAAAAAGTATTGGTTATCGATCGAGCGTCGGCCCGATATGACGCATTAATTATTAATAAATAATTAATTGAGAAGAATTTCGAGTTAAATTTAATATGAGAAACTTCTTTAGGATCTCAGCTTTCAGACGCAAACTTAAAAGTATAGAAATTATCAATAAAAAATTAATAATTAATTAATATTCTTATATAATGAAGAATATTAGGAGCCGCATAACCAAAGTTAGTGGCACGTTTTCTCTATCCTTCTCGCACAATATTGCTGTCCTTATGTGTGACGTCACGAATACCTCCTTGCACATCCTGCTATGCTAGTAACAAGTCGAAGCTTCCAGCGTCCAAACGCGAGATGGCGCCACCGGTATTAAAATTTTTCATTTACTTTTTTGTTCAACTTATATATGAAATATAAACAGTTTATAAGAAATGCAATGAATTTTATCATGTTCAGAAATACATATTCGTTTGAAAAATATCTCAAAGGAACTTTTATATAAATATTCCAATATGAGAAATTTGTAGAAAGATAGGAAAAAAAAATTTGTTGGAAAAAGGGAAAGAAAATAAAAAATATAAAGATATTAAAATATACGTAAAATATATTTTTTTATTTTATTTTAAATAAATATTACAGCATATAAAAATAATATATATCTACGTATATAATATTCTTATAATTATTATAAATTCATATTATATAAATATACAAATAACGTCAAAATTAACGAATTACTATCTTATTTATTACATATATACATATATATAAGAAAATCTTCAATATGAACGAAATTCTACGTTCTATTAACTTACATTATAATTTCTTTGGCAAATCAAAGACGTACAACTGAAAACTCATAGCTTCAAGTAATATAAACTAATATTCATAATATAATGTTTTTTTTTTCAAAGGAAGAGAATTTCCAACACAGGATTCGCAGAATTTTCATTTTCTCGAGAGTTCTTCTTATCCTTCGCTCTCGACTTTCGCGGTACCGTCGAAAAGTACGAAACAGGGTGAGGAAGAGTAAAAGAGATGCCGTTCACCCGTCTCTCCCTCTCTCTCTCTCTTTCTCTCTCGGCCCGTATACACGTATATATAGCGTCCTACCTACCCCGCGGTATCTTCCCTCTTTCTCTCTCTTCCCCGCTGAAGTCAGATCGCCCACGGGCTCCACCAGGCCGTCGTTATTATATGTTATCGCCGTGGAAGGTATGGGAATCGGCCTGAGGGGGCACCGGATACCTACGTCGGTATTTCCCCCTCGTTGTGCCATAACGCACCATCGAGGTACACGAAGAACCGAGCTCTCCAGCTCTTGTTCTCTTTCTATCTTCATCTCTTTTCTCTCTCTACTCGCGCTCGTTCTCCCGGCGGCCTTCGTCTTTAGCGCACTCTTCCTCCTTTGTCCCTCTCGTCCTTTTTCCAGGGCACTCGTCTATTATATGCTAAATTACAACGACCTTCGGTCGTGCACGCAGAAGAACATGGCCGGTACCATTGAAAAAACGCATTGAAACCTATCTATAGATAACGGATGACACGATCACGCCAAGGGTTGAAAAGCATTGGAAAGTTGGTGGTCATTGAAAAGTGACCAAACTTTGGTAAGGGAGGAGACTCTTTTTTGTTTTTAGATAATTATCAACCTTTTTGACCTTTAATTGAAAAATTATTCAATGAATTTCTTCGATGCATTGCGCTGTTTTTTCTTCGAAAAGTATTTGAAAAACTTAGATCGATTTGTTGATTGACGATAGTCATTAGTTAGTTGAGAAAGAAATATGTCAAGCAAAGAGTTACGATGAAAATACGTTGGATATTTCTAAGAGAAAATATCCTTTACATTTCAAGGTGACCTTCATTCCTCTTTGAACATAATGTTATAAATATATCATGAATATAAGATGCATAAATTGCCTATCATTGCACCGAGATATAATTCCCAGATACGACATGCAAATAAACATAACAAGAACGTGACGCTCCTCCATTAGAAACCTATTGGAAAATGTCACCAGCCACTTTCTCTAAACCCAAACCGGAAACGATTCGACCATTCATATCCGTTCGAATATCTCTCATTAATACACGTTGTCAGTTCTGTCACCGTTATTAAGATTGGACTCCATTTCCTCCGCACTTTCAATGCGAAATCAAAAAACATTAATTATGTTGCAAAAGTTTTTATTATGCATCGAGGAATGACATCGTCTTTAATCGACTTCAATATATAGAAAATATTACAAAATTATCAATAATTTTTGACCTCGCTATATCTAGAATATCAATTTTAACGTTAAAAATTTATAATATTGAAACTTAAGAATTTTTAAACATCAATGTTGATCTAGGTCAATCTTTAAATGCTTTTAAGTAACAACACACTTCAGGCGAGTAGCCTGGTATCGATTTATGGTTATTTATTAAATATCTGTATATGTTAAATCTTATTATTCCTTATTATTATTATATTTTATTTTGGCCCAATATATACGTTTCCAGTCACGACTACTCCCGATTCCTCCCACGTCCGACCTTTCTCCATCCCGAACGGATCCAGAAGGCATTCGTTCCGGCAGCTTTCACGAAAATGATAGCGGCTGTGTCCTCCGGCATGATAGCCGCAATAAAGAGATGAAATTCGAAGCCTTCCCGATGTCGATAATCGATCGTCTTGGATTGAGCGATCGAAATCGCGCTCGTGTAATAATCAACCATCTTGGAAATATTTTAATCCAATTTCGATCGTATCTTTATTTATCTCTTCTTCTCTATGTCCTCCTATCTAACTAAATTATCCGTCATTATATAAATGACTTTACAACATAGTACAAATGTATTATTTATATTATATATTAACATAGTGAAAATGTATTATTTTCCATCAATCAGAATGATTTGTTAAAAAATTATTAAAAAATTAAATGATAAGAATATCTTTTTGATGAAATACGATAAATTTTAATACATTCGATAAACGTATGCGTTAAGGAAATTTTCTATTCTACATTAAACTTTTAAAAAAATGCAAAAGATGGAAAAGAATTTTCACACGCGATTTTGTGTTCAATCAATGTTATCATTTTCAGTCTCGTTATATTTTTCGCCATTTTACAATTATATTTCTTATATTCATCAAAAATTAATATCCGGAAGCATTCATTTTAATTTTCAATGAATCGTATCGACCGTGTTAAAGGAATCACTCGACGAATCAACGTTATTTTCAACCCGTCATTTTATCGAAACTGCCACTTTTCGTCCAACGATCCCTTCTCTCAACAAATTTCCTTTAACTTTTCATCGGTCGAAAACAACCTGTTTACAATGCGACGTTAATTGGCCCCGACTCGTCCAGTAATCGTCAATTAAGTCGAAGCAAGGGAGGCATATATAAATTGGTTAAGAAAAATTTTGGAACAGCTGCGGCTACTTCACGGTCTCGCTTCGAATAACTCGAAGCGTTTTCGGCAGGTGACCGAAATATCGGCACCTGCCTCGCCTCAACGCGACTTCTTCAATAAGAAAGCGTAATTTATAACCATCGGTGACCAAGAACCGGGCTGTGTACACGAGTATGTATACCCTTAAGTAAAACTGGTCAACGATTTATCGAGCGAGCCGATCAACGAGATTTAACAACAAGCGATATAACAAACCGTGACCGTGTACGTGGTTAAAAACGACATCGTTTTAATCGTGAAATTAAAGGTAATCAGATTTCGAATCTAGAACAATCGTGTCACCGTGATATTTTCATATTTTCGAACGTTTATCTTTTTTCGTGTGAACGAAACCGGAACGAATCATTACAATTAATCTCTCTCAAATATTCGTATGAATTTGGTGAAATATATTTCCAATAATACAATAATTCAATAATAATTTTCTATGAATTTGGTGAAATATATTTCCAATAATATTTTAATAATATTTTCAATAGTAATCGCGAATAAAAAAGTCAGTTTTGCGATTTCCTCGTTTAGCTTATTAAGAATATATATTAAATATTGTTTCTAAAAGTACATACTATTTTCTTCAGGTATCCAGAATCGAGATTGGCAAAATTATTCAACGGCAGCATCCCCATCGTGCTGGACTCCCTGAAGCAACACTACTTCATCGACAGGGACGGCGGCATGTTCAGACACATTCTAAACTTCATGAGAAACTCCCGTCTCCTGATACCGGACAACTTCGCAGATCTGGATCTCCTGCTGGAAGAAGCGCGATACTTCGACATCGCGCGTAAGAGAAATTTATCGTACATCCCCTCGATTCTGCTAACCCCACGATAGATACGCTTCAATTTTCTTCCAATCTGGCATCGATTTTAAAAGAGAGGGATAGCTTGAGTTAAGAGTTAAGAAGAAAGTATTCAAATTCCCTTGTAATTATTACTTAATAACCTCGTTAATGATCTATTTAAAAATCAGCACATGCTCGTCGAACACCAAACTTCTTTAACTTCTGTAAAGAAAGAAGGAGAGATCATGATTCGAAACGGTAACGATAAATCGCGTAATCTGGACCCCGGAATCTCGATTCTCGGATCATTTTTCCTCCCATTAAACTATTAATACAGCAGCGTTACGGGGAAAGATCGAATTAAAATGCTAGTATCTCGATAAACGAAAGACCACGGCGCGCTCGCGAAAATCTCGATATATCTTTCGATCGTAATCACGTCTCATTGATCCACGTTTTGCACTGGGGGAGAGGGGATACACAGAAGCGTTAAATGATATTTTAATCAAATATTCAAAAATTCGATCGTGAGACAGAAAAAAGGAAATTTTTTTTTTTTTATAGAAAAACCGAAACGTTAACTTCGATCACACGATATACCTCTTCCTCTCTCCTTCCATCCGCGTGCCGCGCGACAAACTCATCTCTCTACTCGTTCTTTTGCAGCGATGTGCAGGCAATTGGAGCAAATGAAAAAGGAGCGGATAAAGAACGGTTCCACGGGCACGACGACCATGTCCTCCTCGTCCCCGAGCCCCCCGCCGGCCAATCAACTAGGAAATCGCGGCACAGGGTGCACGACGGTGCCGAGCAACCGGGATTCCGAGAAAATCCGCGGCAACGAGGGAAATTGCAATTACGAGTGCGTCGCCCTCCACGTGAGCCCGGATCTCGGTGAACGGGTGATGCTCTCGGGCGGTCGAGCTCTCCTCGACGAGGTGTTTCCGGAAACGACGCAGGCGGTGATCGACGCCCGATCAGGGGTCGCCTGGCACCAACAGGACGCCCGCCACGTCATCAGATTCCCCTTGAACGGTTACTGCAAGCTCAACTCCGTGCAGGCCATCACCAGGCTCCTGAACGCAGGATTTCGCGTGGTCGCGAGCAACGGCGGAGGGGTGGAGGGGCAACAATTCTCGGAATACCTGTTCGTTCGACAAGCCGTCAACACTTGACGGAACACCGCGCACCAGCGAAAGACCAGCTCGAGGATGGTGCGCTGCCTTCAACGCGACCACGACCCCGAGTGAACCTGTCCAGGAGACATTTATTCAGAAGACTGCGTTCACGAACGATGAACGATCGGTGTTCCCTTCTCTCGTTGCGAACGGAACACCGGAGGTGATTTGAAGCTATCGTCGTTTCAGATGAGATATCGTGACTTCGTAACTTCGTCGATCCTTCGGTCAGGGATAACGCGTATATTTAATTACTCATTCGGGATACTCAGCGGCTCCCCTCCTTCCCATTGTTCTTTCTCTAATTTCTTTTAAATTATGTTGACGGGATGATCGATTAATGGTAAAAGATAAAAGGAGAGATAAATAATGAAAGACAAATGTATCGAAGGTAAAAATTTCATTTATTTTTTGCAATTAGTTTGTATACATTCTGTGATATAATTTTCGGATTTTATTATTGGTTTGTAGGGAGCTATTAGTGTGAAATATTTGCGCTCGTTGATCGTGAGATTGTTCGAGAGTTCGTAGTTATTAAAGAATAATATGAGAGCGAAAGGGGGTAATTATGTGAAAGAAATTCGCAGGGTATATTCTTGATCAAAAGTTTCGATTTTCGTCCAGATTTTCCAATCGCGGTTCGACTTTATGGAAATGTTTATGTTTATAACTTGTGTGCTACTTACGAGTCGATAAAATCGATTGTATTTCAATTCTGATACGAGTTACGCGTGGAAAATAAAAGAGAGATTAGCCATCGTATTTTTGGAAATCATTTGGAATGTAATCTAACTTAATTTACGCTAAATTTTATTCGATAATTCCGAATATTTGACAAATCGAGTGCCTTGAGTTATGCGTATTTAAGTTATAGAATGTTCGACCGTGCATAACGTAACGAAAATTATAAGAATCACCGTTCAACGATTCTTTCTAAAAAAAATCGAGCCAACAAACGTAATTTTCGCAGTTATGCATTCGTCGAACGTATCATCACGCATGCTCGTGACCCACTTATGCATATAAGTATTGGTAAACCGCTCCTTACTTTGCTTTTATTTAATAAGGTGTATCTATATGTATTTAAATGCCATACTAATTACTGTAAATACCGCGAATAAACGTGTATCTATATCGATATATATATATATATATATAAATATAAATATAATTATTCTATGTACTTAAATTGTCGATATCTAAATGCGGAACATTCGGACAACGAAATAATTCGCGTTGATCTCATCGGCTTAAGCTGTGTTTCTAATTGATAAACTAAGATAAAAATGGGTTTCGAATGGAAGAGAAACAAGACGAATAACGTTAAAAAAGGGGAAATAAAAAAAGAAGAGAACAATTCATACGTTTATTTTAATTCGAGACTTCGCTAAAATCATCTCATTTGTCTCGATTATTTTTAACGCGTTAAAAAAGAAATAGTTTCTAATTCTCGATAGGAAACACACTTATCGCTACGATAATTATCGTTTCGATTGATTTAATAAAAACGTTTATAAATTGAACTAGTAGAAACGATCATTATTTATTTCGTATAAATTAATCACTTTCCCTTCCACAGAACGAAATTATCATTTAATGTTCTATTTAATAGGCGAAACAAATATGAGAGAAACATCGAATGTTATTTAAATATAACTACTGTTTTTTGTATCGACCTGCACACGTGCAAGAGGGAGGAAAATTGTCGCGACGAGAGTTGCTGCGTTTGGTCCAGTCTCGAAAGCAAAAATAAAATCTGGCAAAGCAACCAAATGGAATAAAACCATTAGTCGGACAATGCAGTTTTCATAACGTTCCGACAGAAAAATCTGGAATACGTTGAAAATTGGTTACGCGATATCTGATTTCGACTTTTCCACCTGATTGCGAGTAACTCGTGCATCCTACGCGTTGACCTTTCGCTCCGATGACTTTCCATCGATCCGATCACTTTTAAACGCAACGAGGACAAAAGATAAAAATAACGGTGATAAAAAAGTCGCATCCTCGAATTCGAATCAACGAATTTCGTTTTTTAAATAATCCTGTAATCCACTCTGTGCCATTCAACGAACCATCCAATTTTTCGATAATTTTCGAGAGAAAATCTCTGTCTCTGGTAATTAGCAAGGAACGAAGAGAGGAGAACAATGGTAATAACCAGATTTGTAAATCCATCTAACAATAGATCCTTCGTAATATTAGGATAAAGAGAGAAATAAGGCGATATGCGGAGGAACGAGAAGAGGAAGAGGCGGAGGAAGAGGAGGAGAGAAGCAGGAGAGAGCAAAAGAGCTCGGAACCGCGTTGATCACGTAACCGCGGGAATAAGGGATAAAGCGCACAAACGTCATTGCCTCGGGCCCCGTTTCCATGGTTACCGTGAACTCAATATCCGCGACGCCCCGGGGTAGCATGGGCCGCGGGCTGTCATCCCTCGAACCTGGTGAGCGAAGAGCCCAACGTTCCGCTTCGACCCTCTCTCCCGACTATCTCGCTCTCGACCGTTCTCGCTTCGCTTCTCATTCTCTCATCCGCGCTTCTATTTTCCTCCTTCCTTTATCTTTTCGTCCATTCTATCTTATTGTTTCCGTCATTCTCTTTACAATCCCCTCTTTTTCCCCACAAAACTCCTTCTCTCTTTTCTCTCTATCATTTTCCGCACTGTATTTTTCCTTCTTCCATCTTTTATATTTTTCCTTCCTCCCCCTCCTCTTTTATAATCCTTTTATAATCCTTTCTTTTTTTTTGTCATACCGAAAACTCTACTTCTTCTATCTTCCTCTCTATTCATAAGCATCTTTTTTCTCTGTCTCGATCGTGCGTCTTTTTCCTTCTACTCTTTCCCTCCTCTTCCTCTCTTTTTCTCTTTTCCTCTCTATTCTCCTCGTTTCTTAAATCCTTACTTCCCCTCTCGCTAGCTATTGCACATTTTACCACCCGCTCCAATGTTCTCCGTCTCTGTCGAGCTCCGATGTTGATTATATTCCATTTCTGGATCGCCTCAGGGCCATCTCAGTCCCAGGTCCTTCAATACACGACACGAGGCGAAGTAGCCTTTGGCGTCAACATGGAAGACGGGCTTGAAATTCGAGGATACGCTGGTACGCAATTCTCTACCAATATCTGCATCAAGGTTGAGCGAGCAATATTTTTCACGATATCATCTCTTTTTGCTATACGCAAAATTTCGCCGTAATTTCATAACATTGCAAATTTTTAATCATTTTAAAGGTAAAATTGCTTTAATTCTCTTTGTTCTTTCGTCACCATCTTATTGCTTTATTTATTTTCTAAATATATTATATCTATTTTTAATATTTTTTTGTTCTATTACTTTCTTATATCGCAAAAGTAAATTTTGTATATTTAAATAATAGAATTTATTTAGGGAAACCAAAACTATATTTGTAGTACGGAAGAACTATCTTTGACAATCAATTTTAAAGATACAATTGAGAAAAAAAATTTATGATCGTGATTAAAATAAATGCGCTGGTATTCGATTGTTTAGTGATTTTTTTAAATACAACGCCATATCGAACATTATTTGGAATGATCGAATAATGAATAATCACAATCCGATGTATATTTTAACACGCTTGTATATATTATTATATAATCGATCTTTTTGCCACGTATTTTCGCGATTTTTCATTAAACGATGTAGAAGTTTTGCAAGTTTTAATTGTTGTAAAGATTATTACAATTTTTCTGATGGGATTTTTAATCCAATTTCAAAGAATATTATTCGATGTAAACATATGTTAAATATTTTTTTGTTAACATGATATCTTAAATATAAATGATAAAATTCAGATAAAAATGATACAATGATATGATGATAAAAATAACATTTACTCGAATATACTATAATACTTTTAATATTTATATCGTTTAATTTTTTAGATTTTTAGATTTAACAGCCCGAAATTTTATGAATTTTCATAGTTTTGTGAAAAATATATCTAGAAATTGAACCATGTAACCATACAAAATAGAAATTTCTATATTCCTATTCGCAGAAACTCAATAATTTTTATGTCACGCATAAAAATTAAATTTTTTTTGAACGAAAAAGAAAAAAAAGAAAGTTAGTAGCCTAAGAATAAACAATTCGGGCTATTCTTTGGTGAAACTTATTCTCGTGTTTTATTATCTCTCGGTTACGACTTATCCAATTACAATTTGTAAAAATATCATAGTGTACCAAAACTGCTATGTACTTTAGGTTTCTTTTTTTTTGTTTTTTTTTTTTTTNNTTTTTTTTTTTTTTTTGTATCTTTATACATTCTTCTATTTATATATTTATATTAATAATTCCACCTAGTGGCAGTAAGGAGAACATTATAACTAACTTCGGAAATTTGCGTTTTTTTCAATCGAGCTCGTAAAAAACGATGCAATCATTGTAAAGAGGAACACGCAGCTAAGTAAAAATTTTTTATATGGTGAAGTGCGCGGCAAAAAGTATGGTACAAGTAATGGTATGTGCGCCTTTTCCGATAAAAGTATATAGCTACTAAAAAAACGAATTATTTACATTTTTATTCGAATAATTTTGCTTCAACGATCCGCTTCTTTTTTAATTGTAAGCTCTCTCTCGCTCGCTCGCTCGCTCGCTCGCTCGCTCGCTCACTCTCGTAATGAAAAACTTATCAATTGCTATTATATATATATATATTTATATATTTATATATAAAAAGGCAATCGTTTCTTGGTGCACGCAATAACAAATAGAATTATATAGTTGAGATCAATATTGCAATTATAACTTTGCACCTATTACACTTTTAAATAATTTTCTTCCTTTCTTTTTTTCCTTTTTCCTTTGTACTGATTCATCTCATAATTAATCAGCGCTATGGATAGTTAATGTTAATAGTTCAATTTAACTTAATATCTTTTACACAATTCAGTCTTGTGCGCGTATTATTATTTTAATCAATATTGAACCGTTGAAGCAATTACGTTTCACGTAATTGTAACCGAAACGTTACGTAGATTCGCTTTTTATTTTCCTGTTATTTACACTAGAAGACTCACAGGTGTACGTGCCTTTTTAATATATCTTATTTTTATTTTTTTTTTTTTTTTTTATTTTATGAATGCCTGTCAAGAAATGTATCGTGCATTCCAAAAAAATATGGAAGCACGAAAATGATTGAGAAATCATTTCAGTTAATTCAGATTATCAGGATATTTTAGATTCTCTATAATTCTTGTATATACTCGGATAATCTGAAATAACTATTTTACATGGATTGCTAAGAAAAATAAATAGTATACTTCGTATCATATTCTGCAACTTCAAACTATGACAATACAATAGAAAAATTTCTATTGTGTCAACAAACTTATATCAAATTTATATTACAGCTTATAAAAATCGATGGCTTCTGGTATCGTTATCGTGTACAGTATTTAATACATTTGAGATGAAAATTCAATTTCTTGTTCTGTATATAGATCTGTAAGAATGAACACAAATCATTCAAAATTAGAAGCTATTTTACAACAAAAGCTATTATAAAAAATTCTAAACCAATATTGTACTAAAAATCAAATCTAAACGCAATAAATGATACGTGCGTATACTTGTATATGTATATATATGTATATGCATCGATATCTTTAATAAACATATACAATGATTTCTTTTTTTTTTTTTAATATTCCACAAAAATCTATTTCGGGCACATGTAAAATGCTCATGTGATGAGCAATTTAGGAAAGATCGATATCTTTTTAATTACTCTGTACGATAATAGGCACCCACGTACATCTGCAGCAAATTTTTTTACATTATAAATCAGGTACACGCTTTGAATTATTTTCAATTGATTATGTGAAGCACACTTTTTTTGAACATTAGCAAAAACTGCATTAATTCCAAAGAGGAAATATAAATAATTAAATTAACGTTAATCGAAAAAATATTCGTAATTTTTACTTTTGTAAATATTTCTTTAATAAAAAACGTAACAGCTAATTCTTTTATAAACACTGAAAATGTAGATTACAACATAATATACTGATAACAATTCCATCTTACGTGGAGAGTAGCTATATTCTGTTGTACCAACATTGAAATTATCACTATTTTTGTATTTTATATGTAAGGTATTGTACAAATTATTCCATACTTTTTGGACAGTGTGCTCACAGTATATTACATTACAATTTGCAAAAATACGATTTACTATGTTAACAAAACCTGCACTCTTTACACTAGCGCTACAGTGTCCAAAAGTATAGGTCAAGTGTTACAATGCAGCAGGCATATACATAAATGATAATGTACACTCATTCATTCAGCATACATGCACCATATAACAACATTTATATATGATCATACATGTCCTTGCCATATAGAAACTACCCAAGACTGATCATCAGGCATGTGCTCATACACATACTCTTATCAATGATGCAATTTTGTGTTGAAAAATAAAGAACAATCTATTATATTACATTTAAAAAACCTTCAGTCATTTACATTAGGGAAGCTTATCGACATGATAGAAATAATCTTATTTTGAATGTATGTGGAATCCTGATGTGATTCGTAATGAATTGTATGTAACTTATCAAACACTGTACAACGCAACGTACACTAACGTTACATGATTCGTTAAGGTCCATTGAGGCCAGCTCACACAAGACCATACAGGTAGGGCGCCAAAAATTGGGCGGATCACATAAGTTCCTGCCCTTTACAGAACATCACTTCAAGTATGATTTATACAACATTGTACTCCTACACGTTTCTTTCTCTTGTTCAAGGAAAAACAATAAGTCTCTAAAATTCACCCTCTTTAAACGTGGTCTCATTGGCATTTGTCTATTAATTCCAGTAGCTGAAGTGTTCAAACCGGTATTACTGCCTGGGCTACTAGCAGATGCACCTACGTCAAGTTTAGGCTTTTTACGTGGACCAATTGCTTGCAAAGCTGTCAAATTCGCTTCTCTTTGCCTTAATTCTTCCATCTCTGCACGTTGCATCTAAATAAAATTTCAAGAATAATTAGTTTTTCTTATACATTTTCTTACTTTTTAATTATCATATTTAATGAAAATATTATCATAATTATGAAAATACCTCCTTAGCTTTTGCCTTTAACTTAGCTTGTTCTGGATCTTCAGTTTTCGCACGACTTTTAGCAGCACGTAAAAGTAACTCTCTTTCTTGTTCTTCATGTCTTCTACGTTCCACCTTATCCAAGTCTTCCAAAAATTTTAATTGTGCTCTAACATCCTGTGTTACTTCGTAACGTGGATCCACCTAAAATCATTATATTTTATTTATTTTCTAAATATTTAAATAATTAATTAATAATTATAATAATAATTAGAATATAAAATTAAATTTTTAATCTAATTTTTTATAGTCTTTGAACTTCACCTTTATCAAATCTATCCTATGTTCTGCAATTACTGCTAATTTTTCTACTAAATTTTTTAACCTTTCTTGTGCAGCATGCGATATCAATGCCGCAACTTCTTGATTAGGTTCTTCTAATCCATAATTAGAAACTAAAAAAATAAATTTATATTATCTAAACTTTATATTTATATGTTATATTATATAATTATTAAAATAACTAATAAAAAATGATACCAATTTGTTTAATTCTTTGTTGTAATGGCGTCATATGTAAAAACACTTCATCTTTACAAGATCTTATTTGTGTTCCAACAAATTCTGTAGAACCAAGTATCCTTTGAGATTCTTCAGCAAGATTAACACCACCCATAGCTGCTACATCGTTAATATCGTCATCTCCCCTATTTAAAAGAAAAATATACATATATATATATATATATATATTAATAACATGATAACGAATTATATTTGGAAACAATAATTACTTACGTATATCCTGCAGATGAAAATGTCTTTTTTTCTTTTTCTTTAGTAACTGGCTTTGGAACAAAAGAAGGCACTATGGCTTTATTAACAGTAGTAGTTGTGTTGACTGTTTTGCCTTGCGTTGTAGTTGTAACTGTTTTAACAACAGTTGTTGTAATAGGTGGTTTTTGAACTGTAGGGACAGTAGGTCGAATCCCAGTTACGGCTACCGTTGATTTCACAGTATATCCTGTAGGACTACGAACTACTGTCGTAACAGGTCGTATCTAAAATAATAAATAATTTTTTATAGTTTAATCATTATAATATAATTTAATATTTATTTAATCTTATATTATAAATGATTAATTAAATATAACTGATTGAACTTACGATTGATAATACTTACATAGAAAGATAAAAATATAAAATTTTTATATTTATAAAATTTGAATAAATATAAACCAAACATATATCAATCATTACAGTTTATTATTTAAATACATTCAATATATTTAAAATTTAAATATATTTAATACAACAAAATTAAATGTCTTCTTACCAGCCTTTGTTGAACTGGCTGAGCTGGTCTGGGGACTGTTGTTGTAGCTGCAGGTATTGGAGTCATTACTCTTACTTGTGTACTTGCAGTAACTGCAGTTACAGGAACTGTTGTAGGTGTTACAGAGACGGTCGGTCTAAGCTGATTCTGCTAAATTATATTATAAATAAATTAATATTAAATAAATTATATAATCAACATATGAATAAATGATATAAATAACCAGTAAAAAGCACATTTTTATCTATTTTTAATAATAAATTTAAAAAAAGACTTAGTATAATAATAAAAAATCTAATAATTTTTTTTTTTATCTCAAAATAACAAATCATATCAAAATCAAAATAAGTAATAAGAAAAATATTTACTTGCGAAGTATTATTCAAATAGTAAATACTAATATATGAATATGACAATATGAACTGTTGGGTAATCTATATAAACTATCCATGATATCTGTAAACGTTATATTTTAATATTTTTAATTTGTAATATTGTATAAAACTTTACCTGCGTTACTACAGGAGTAGCAGATGTTACAGGAAAAACAACATTAGCTGGAGGAGGTTTTATCCCCTCTATGACTAATTCTTTTGTCACAAGAGATTGCCGTAAAAGTGGCAAACTTTTCTTGAGAAATCCAATCAGGCATGGTTGAGGTGATGCATTTAATAATCTTTCAAGTCTATCACAGAACTCTTCAGGTTCAACTTTAGTATCAATTAATTCTTGTATTAAAGTTCGAACATTTCGCTCCACTGCTTTAGGTTCTCGACTAGATAACTCTAACAAGTTTGCTAAAAATTTACGGCACTTTTCTTTGGTATTATCTGTAGTTTGACGCTAAAAATAAAAAATAAAATTTAATGAAACTAATATATCATAAATAAAATCATTAATAAAATTTATATAAGTAATATATATATATATATATATATATATATTTGTGATTATTTTTAATACATACTGGTGTAGGAGTTTGAACTGTTTGAACTGTAGTAACAGGAGGTGTAGGTGCAGTTGACACAGCTGCAGTTACTGTTACTGGAGTTGTAGTTGCTGTTGTAATAGTTGCAGCCACAGTCTACATAAATAAAAAGAACAAATTTCTTATAATTTTCTACATTTAAAATTATTTAAGAAAAAAAATTTTATTTGATAAATCTACATTAAAAAGATTAATAAATATTTACAAAATTTTTGAAAAATAATATTTATAAATTCATAATTTCTTTAAAATTCTATGTAAATTATAAGATGACAATATCACTCAAAAATAAAGCATTTTGCAGCATTGCTAAAAATAAAATATAAATAGCAAATTTATTAAAAATTTATTATAAATAATAATTTTGTATAGCATGCTTTTATTTTTAAATTTTTAAATAATTTGTTTATAATATGACTTTTTTCTTTCTATTTCTACAATTATAATCTACTATGTGTTTTTTCTATATTCGTGCTGAATTTCAGATTTTTCAAGCATAAAATCTTTTATTACTCATTTATTACTCTCATTTATTTTCATTATTTTCATTATTTATTCATTAAAATAGATATATATAATTATATTGATTTGATATAGTAAATTGTGTAATATATTAAAGACGCACTTGTACCTTATACAGACTCGCAACTTTTTATTGAAGAAGTATTCTTTAGTTGTTTCTTATTTAACCATATATGTATTAAATTATTAAAATATTCATAAAAATTTAATAGAAAGTTAGTATATAAAGAATTTAAGAATGACGTTAATTATATATTTATTATTGATGATTTTTAATTATATTAGATATAAATATTATCACTTAATCATAAAATAGTTTATAAAATTTTGTAAGATAAGATAGATAAAAATAAAAATTACATATTTATATGAAAAAAGTTTCATTATTTTAAAATATGTATATTAAATTTTAATTATAATCTTTCAAAATTTAAAAAATAAATAATTATTCCATAATACCCTTAACCGATATAACATGCAATATGTATACATATAATAACAGCATTGAATTGAATAAAATAATTGCACATTTTAAAAATGTAGAAATTCTACAATAAAGAGGCATCCCAACAAATAAGCCAATAAGAAAACAAAACTCTCTATATACTTTATAAAACCTTTCAGTCTTATATTAACTGAAAGCTTTTACAAATTCTTATAATAGTTATAATATATAAATATAAAACTTCTTTTACATGTCAAATGATATTTGTATAATCAGTTTAAAGAAAATTTTATATAACAGAAACAACATAAAGACAGAATGAAAGAATATAAACATAATACATAGCCTTACCAATAACACCATTCCAACTAATAGCATAAACTAAAAGTCTACTATCGCACTACATCGAGTCTTGTAAGAGGTATAAGACGTCACCTGAACAGATTTTCTTAAGGTGGCGAGTGGTGGGCCAGTGAACTGTGTGTTCAGCCTACTTACAGCCGGCACTGAGGCTAAGCGATAGGTAGTGCCTGGAGATGGTGCAGCAACCACTGCATTTCCTGCTATACTATTTGGTGTAACTGCAGTACCAGGTGTACCTGCTGTTGGAGGTGGCCCTACCCTTAGTAATTGATATTGCCCACTTTCTGTTTTTAATAATATATGACCTTGAGTTCCAGGTTGAAGACCATGTAACGTTTGTAATGTTATCTGAAAATTTTTAAAATAAAATTTTACTAAAATATATTAAAGTATTCAATATGCATATTAAACAAAAATAAATATTTATAAAAAATTATTAATATATATAAATATTTTATATAATATATTATATTCTTAAAACAGAATAACAAAACCAATAAACATAATATATACAAATTAATGGAATGATCATGACCTTCAAAAGTATACATATATTGTTTATCAACTACAAATATCTTACCCCTGGAGCTCCAGGTCTTGTTCCAAGCATATGTTGACCAATCACTACTCTAGGTGCAACTTGTTTTCCTGCTTGTTGTCCTGTCACTGGTGTGCCAGGACGCATTGTATTAACATTAAGAATTTGCACATTGCTAGGTACTATTGTAGATGTAACTCCAGCTTTACCCTGTAGTGCTGTGCTGACTGCATTGCCAGCCACAGAAACAGGAACAGACATTGGAACCGAAACCATGCCACTGGGTGCTACACTAGTTTTTATCACCAAAGCTGTACCTGTCTGCTTATTTACACTAGCAACTGTTTGACTGCCTGTTTCACTGACAGAGCCAACATTAGAAACAACATTTGATGTTGTCTGTAACACTGCCTGCGATGTTATTCCTAAAGTACCATTGGCTAATTGTCCAACAGTTTGTGCAGGAAAAGAAAGTTTGTTATTTGCATTTGCTACCCCTGTGGTTGCTATTACTTGACCAACAGTTGGATAGATAATCTTGACAGGCTCATGTGTTTTAGTAAGGCTTGGTATATTTGTTGTTTGATTACTGGTCACCTGGTTCGTAGTAACTTGATTAATATAAGCAGCAGGGGGGACTGCTGATTGTGTATGCTGTTGCTGTTGTGTAGTAACTTGTGGCGCCACTGTGTTTGAAGTAACCACATTAACAGGGAGGAGAGTACTCGTAGTAATGGACTTTGTAACTTCTTGATTCATCAGACTATTTACTGTAGTAGCACCGCCGCCGTTTGAAACCCTGTGGATGCACATGTTCGAGGAGGGGTTAAGTATACTATTGCTGATGAGACGCGATGATTTAAATATGATTATAATTTATTAAATAGTCTGTACAAAGAATTAACTCTAATAATAAATTAGTAGCTGACCGTATAAACGCGAATATGTATAAGCTGCGGCGCGTGAAAACGGAATGAAGGCACGTGGACAATCGACGAGAGCAAACGAGAATCTGGAAGAATCTAGAAGAAAGCGCGCGCAATCAGCGTCTGCAAAGTGGCGCCGTTCACCGGCTGTTTGCAAAGGTGGCTAAGAAGCCGCCATCCACTCCCCCCAAGGTTTTGGGAGGGGTTTCACGAAGATTTGACTTTTATACGATGTGAGCGGGATCAGAAGGAGAAGAGAGAGGAAAGAAGGCGGGAAAAGGAAGATCGTTTCGTTCAGGGCCTGCCAGCGAACTCGTCAGTAAGTTTATTGGCAGGCCCATACCTTAGACCCCTTGGCAGGGGGGTGTTTTGACGGCCCTTCCTATCCTCGCCACCAGAGGGACAAGTATACGAGCATTTTCTCGCGAGTGCTCGCCGCCTTCAACCCGCACGCCACAGCACCACAACCCCATGTTTCTGTGACTGTACCGCGGTGATGGTGTCTCCATTGGAAATACCATTGTTCACCTAATGATTCTGCTGACTGATTGACGCAGAACTTACTTGATAACCGGCGTCGATGTTACCAGTTGGGTTTCAAGGGAGCCTACTATCGCGTTCACTGCGGATTCATCGACGTCCGTGCTCAGAGCTTCCTCCAGAAACTTAGCTGACGCCATTTTCTTCCAAGCTCCAACTGTAAACTGATCTGCGCATGCGCCTGTCACAAATTGTTCCCATGGTGCATTGCCCCTCCTAGCACAACTGAAAATTATACGCGGCTTTTCTTGTTTACTATCTGCTAATATTTAAACTCATAAATGTTTTTTCACTATTATAAAAAAATTGTAATAATCTTTTTTTAAATTGAGTCACAAATTTTCCGCTTTTTATATATCAGAAAAGCATTTATGACCATATTACATGTATCATGGATTTATGTAATATGGTGTCAATACTCTACATAGAAATACATCAGTTAAATCAGTTATCTTTAAAATTTGAAATTCATATACAATACATTTTTTTAATATGAGAATAATATTGACATATAAATCGAAAAATTATAAACATGTATACAACCTATACTTTAAATATAAAGTATATCATGATGTTAAACTTGGCAATGCTGTTTTGCTAGTAACAAGAGTCTTATTATAACATTAGAACGAGAACTAAATTAGAAGACGAAGTGTTAATGGTTTTTTTAAAAAATTGATTTAAATATCACAATGTTTTTGAAACTCATTCATAAATAATATATAAATATTATAATTGTAGTAAATAAAAATAATATATAAATATTCAAAGTGATAAAAAAAGTGTATAAATTTTGATTTGAGGTTATAATACTTATTTTAAAGCATTTATAATTAAAAATATATTAATATGAAATAGATTAGATTTAAAGCATTTTTTAAACAAATATATAACTTTTAAAAATGTTTAATTAAGTATAAAAATATTTAATTAAGTAATAAAAATTAAAAAAGAAAATAAGATTTCTGAATGAAAAAATTAGATGAATATATAAGATGAATAAGATGAATAAGTTAATAATATTTAAGAAAAATCATATAATATTAAAAAAAATCATTATATCAATTATAAACATTAAACATGTTAAAAGATAAAATTATAATTTAATTATAAATAAATATAGTGATTTTAATGTAAAAAAGCTACATAATACTAGTGTATTTATAAATAAAAAAAATTTTAATAATTATAAATATATTAGAAAATACTAAACTATAATCGTTTTATTATATTTTATCTATGCACTTTATCATGATACATATTACTACAAGCACATTTTATAAAATTACAGAAAACCGCAAAAATTTAAAAGAGAAAAATTCCCTACCGTAGGAAAAATTACTATATGAAAGCGACTTGAGCACACCACACAAAAATTAATGGTACTAATATCTTCACAATTTATACACGAATCATATACTTATATATGAAAGCTTGTGTCGCCATCGCATGCACGTCATCAGTTTCTATCATCGACCTCAACTTGTTCTCTTTTACTCGTTACATTTTTTTATAATATTTTTTAATAACTAATCTGAAATTAATAATTTTTAGTAAATTGATTGATTGTATTAAGATGTGAATTTAAATATTATTGTCAAATTTACTTTTACTACATTTTATATTCAAAGCAGGCATATGTAAAAATTTTCAATTCTTAAGAGTTGTGAGTACAATTATTTCCTTTTAAAATACTATTAATAGTAATAATTTCCTTAAACAATGTGTTCCATAATCTATCAATTTATTAAAAAAAAAAAAAACATTCTTTTTGCGTTCACAAATTTTTCTATCGAAACGTGTCAATATTGAAAATAAGACTTAATGATTTATAAAACAAGATTTAGCGCCCTCTAACTATAAAAGTTGAATTGTTTTTTTGTTAATATAATTATAGAAAACGATACCGAACTGTAATAGAATCTACAATATTTATGTATTATTTGTTTAATATAATGAATCATAAAATAAATTTTTTAAAGAAATTTTTATAAAAATGAATATTTAATATATATACAATATTTAGAATAAAAAATTTTATATATTTTTTATATATTTTTTTAGGTAATTCTTTATTTTACAATATATATATATATTATTTTTTCTACTACTATGTAAAATTATTTACATAAAAAAATATATATTACATTTACAATTAAAAATATAAAATTTTTATATATACTTTTTCAACTAATTTCTAAAACAATATCTGTATCAATATGTTTATTTAATATATAATAATTTAATATCAAATATATTTAAACATGTTATTTATAATTAAATTATATAAAATGTCACGTTTTAAATTGTATATTAATAAACAATAATTTCATTGTCACATAGTAAAGTTATGTAAACAAATAAATATCCATCGGAATTTTTATAATAAAAATGAAAAATTCGAAATATCACTGATACAAAAAAAATAATTTTTTTTATGGTTCTTTTGACCAGTGAGGCCAAGTTTGAATAACACTATATAATGCATCACCTGGACTTACAGTTCGAGAAACTTGACGATGTCCTAATAATTTATAATCTGACGCAATTTTTCCTTTTTCTACTCCTAATTCGATAAGTTTTTGCACAGCGTATAACTGTTGTTTAGGTGGTTTTACCGTATTAAATGTTCCAATAAAAGAAATACCTATACTTATGTTATTATATCCAAATGCATGAGCACCCATATAATCCCAACTGCGACCAACATACACATATCCGTCGCCACCAACAAGAAAGTTGTAACCGATATCTGACCAATTTCTAGATTCAATATGAAACGTTTGTGCAAATCGAACATAAAATGTACACTCCGATTGTGTGTTACAAAATTGTGTTGCTGTATGACTTATAATCACATACGGTACCGGAAGTTTCATCTTTATTAATTGTGTTGTAGGTGGTTGAGCACCCCATTCATTTCGTTCAATAAAACGGATATTTTTTATCTTATCTGCAATTTAATCATTGTAATTTAATTAGTTTATTATTGGTTAATTATTTATATTTGATTAATATATAAATTGATTAATAATATGATGATTGAAAGAATTATAAATATTACCTCCAAATAAAGAATCTGGTATTTCCGGAAAAACTACGGCTGGCGGAATAGCAGAATTGCGTGTAAAATATATACTGACGATGACCATAATAATTACAAGAATTAAAGCTAGAATACACAAAAACGCTGCATATCGCCAAGTCCGCAACCATTTTGTTACTAAAATAATATAAAAATATTAAAAAAAAAAATATTAATTATTGTATAAATATGTATTATTACTTATATAAATAAAAAATATAAATGATTTTGATAATACTTGTTTTAAATGTTATCTTTTCTTAAAAAATATATATAAATGTAAATATAAATGTATTTCGTAAATATTATAATTACTAGCATTTTTTTTTTCTAATAAAATTCACAACATGCAATATCTAAGTAATCTATGCCAATATAAGGGTAATGTTAAATGAAATAAAAAAAATTGTATATCAATTAATATAAAAATTACATATATATATATATATTAATCTTAAATAAGATTGAAATTATTACAAGTACATATTTTTATTCAGGTATATAAATGATTACAAAAATTATTAGACATATTAGTCATTTTATTATTATAATATAAAAAATAATATATTTTTAAAATGATATCATGAAAATAAAATAGTTTTGATCTACATGAATCATTACATATTACATTAACCTTTTATTGACTTTAATATTAATATCGCAAATTTTTTTTAAAATGAAATATAATTTACTTCAACAAAATTTAAGTCATTATTTAATGATTTCAAATTTATTTAAAATAAAATATAAAATTTCGAATTTTATATTTTTTGCTTATTTTTATGGAAACGAATTGCATTTTCTGTTAATTTCCGATAATGATCATTCTTGAAAGTTTTACTTTTATTCATAAAAATATTCCTTAATAATTTAGATTAATTTAAAATTAAACATTACACAAACTAATAGAATATTATAAATAAAATAGATTAGACTTATATATATTTAAAACAAAAGTATTTGAGATATTTAACTATTTATAAATAATTTTCAAAATATGAAAAGATAATTAATAATATATACATTCAAAAGAGATATTTATCTTGTAATTCCATTGTAAAAATGGAAAAGATTGTATATATATATACACATGCAATTTATGAATATGCTAAAATAATATATCTGCATATAATATCTATATCTATATAAATTTAGTTTCAAAAAATAGTTAAAGAAATCTATATTATGCTACGTAAATAAAACCTAACAGATTTTACCTTTATTATGAAACATTTTTACGAATCTCCATAAAAACATCATCAAGATCTAAAAAGTTCTAAAAAAAATATTGTTACCGAGATCAGGATTTTGTGATAAAATTGAGTTCTTCGCAGTCGACTCTCCTTTAGCAGTTGACAAGTCAGATGTGTTGGTATCCGATCCTATAATATTATTATTCTTCACCGTATCAAGGTCCTGTATTGAAGTCGGATTCGTGTAAACGAACTGTTTTATTGTCACTGGACCCTTATAAAAGGTCTTATTACCAAGATGCACATTAGTCGAATTCTTTACGCGCACATTACCAAAATTTGAAATGTCTGCATTAGGTAACACTACATTGCCATCTGCGGTTGTTACTTCTTGATGTTGTTGAAATACCGTTGATACAGGTAAATCAGGTATCCAATCTCCTTCCTCGATATCTGTTTCATTATCATTATCTTCTACGTTACTGCACTGCGTAGACGAATCGGCAATGCTGTCATTTTCGGTAATGCTGACCGCGCTATCTTTGACAGAATGCACTATTTCGCTCTGACAATTTTCGATATTACGATCTTCAATGGAGATATTACTTATTTTATCCTGGTTCTCGTCCGATAACGTTCGTTGATGCTGTTGCACCGATGTCACCATACCAACACACTATAGGAAAAAAAGAATTTATCTGCCATGTTATAATGTTATATATACATGATACGTATATATTTAAATTATTATTAATTATTATTCACGAATTCATGTAATAATTCATAAAAAACAGAAACAATTTAATATATTATAATATATATTTAATATATATTTAATATATATAATATACTGATAGAAAAAATATACAATATTTGATAGAGAAAAAATATTTTTCTGATTGCATTCATAAGATTTCATTGATGAGAAATCTGATTTTGAAAGTTAAATAATGACATTAGCGATAAATATATAAGTATTTTTTAATATATATTGCAATTTATACTAATATATAATATGATCTAAACGATCTGTTTCTCATTAATATATGTACGCTTAAAATATATTTAGTATTATATTTAGCTAAATATATTGTAATCCAGAACATTAGGCATATTGTTTCACAAATTTCGCATTTTATAAATGATTAAACGAATATTTTATTTTATACAAAAAATATAATAAAATAAATAGCATTTAAAAGATTTTTTTATTATTTAGAAAATTTTTTTAGAAAATTTTATTTCTAGGAAATTTATTATCATATTTTAGAAATATACATTTCAAAAATCATAAATTTATAATTAATTTTCACATCATTAAAGTATTTTTAACTTTAAAATTAACAAATTAACAAACAACATAAATTGTTTTTATATACATCTATTCGTATCTTTTTCTCTCTATTTAAAAAATTTGATAACAAAACAAATTGGTTATATTTCATTATGTTTTATTTAAATAACTTATCATTTTATTTCTGCTATTAATCACGTTATTAAAACGAAAATCAAATATAATAAAATTTACATCACGAAATATCAAATGTCAGAAATTAAAAAAATTCAAATCTGACAGGAAAAATATTTATAAGATTCAAATATTTATAAGAATCAAAAAAATAATAAAATGTTTAATAATAACAATATAAAATCCAATGAAACGAATTTTGATTTTGAATTTTGATTTTCAATATATATTAAGAAAATCAGAAAAAATTACCTCACACAAATCATTGTTTCCATTGCTTGCAATCACTTTTTCAATGCTTTTGACCATTAACTTGTAACATGGCGTCTTTATGGATGAATTTTCCTTGTTACTCCGAAAAATAATATCGATAAAGAAAATTCTTTCAAAATTTTTTGGTTTTGAAATTGTTTATACATATTACTCATTACACTACTATATTATTCATTATATTACACTTATTAGAATATGCGATGCACAAATTCTGATTTTGAAAGTTTGTTCACAAAATATACGTTTCATATTTCATAATGATTCTATCGCACTACACAGTACGAACACTACCGCAAATACTAGTGCCGATGACACTACGTGTTATTAAAGTTCGCAATTGAAATTGAAATTTCGATTCATAAAAATATGTAACACAAAAAAAATATACGATACGTTATTGTGCATCACAAGTATAGATAAACGAACGAAATGTTAAATATCGGTTAATTCACTTGAGGTTCTCGCTTCGTCTTTTGTCGTTTCATAATTCTACGTCATTGCTTTATGACGTATAACGAGTTTTACGAAGGACGCGGCATGCACGATTGAAGAAGGAAAATTTCAAAGCACGATATGTCAGCATTGAAAAATTAAAAAAATGAAAAAAGAGTGTTTAAAATTTTAATAGTAGACACGAATTGACAAAACTTTTTTGTTTTATGACTGTGTGATAAGAAGAGCAATAATCAATAAAAAAGAACTTGAAACAAGATTTTTCAACGTTATCTGTCCGTGATTTGTCGTCATGACGAACTGTTGATGATTTATTGAGTAAGCCGCTAAATTGTATCCAACCCCACTCTTCATCTTACTTTCATCACATTCAATTGGAAATTCTATACACTTCTACATTTAATCATCGTATTATAATTTCATTCTAACGTTGGTTGCAGAGTTCAAATATACAACTTGTTCGTAATATTTTTTCATTAAATTATACACGATATGATAATGACAGATAATTCGTTACATTACAATATTTATTCATCATTTCGTATTTTTTCTTTTTTTTTTTTGCATGATAACAATACTCTATATCAGATATATAAATAGATAAATTTCCATATTATATTAAATATTTCCATTTGAATTTTTTATTTTTATTATAAATTAATACAATTAATTTTTACAAATTAATTGTATTTTTTTCAATTTTATATTGAATATTATATATTCGTTTTATACTTAATTTTCATATTTTGTTATTTATTTAATATTTAAATTTTATATTTTATCAATGTTATTAATAATTATAGTAATTTAAAAAAGACATTCATGTTTTGTTAAAGATTATTCGTAAAAATGATGCATATTTATTTTAAGAAAAACATTTAATTCTTCATAAACTTTAAATAATTATCGTGTAATAATAATTTGTGAGAAATATTAGTTAAAAATGATAGAATTTTATTAGTTTAAAATATTTAATAAATTTAATAAGTTATTATTTATATATTATTTATATATTAGAAAGAAAAATAATTAAAGAATATGTTATTCTTTACGATAAAATACATTTAAGATAAAATAAATTAAAGACAAAATATATTTAGTTACGTAACGTTTTATTGTAGATCTTTTTCCGATCAATAGCATTTTCATCCATTTTTAATATAATCTTGCATTCATTGAACTATTTATTAAAAACTAATTTTATAATTTCATAATTTCATAATTTCATAATTTTATAATTTCATAAAAAAAAATTATTATAAAATATTCTTTTTATTTTAAATTACATATGTTATTTTTATTAATTTTCTTTCAAAGATAAATTTGAATTATATGTTTTAAGAATATTCGTGATTTTTTAAAAAAATTGTTTTCAAAATATTTTTTAAAAAAAAATTATATTCCAAATAAAAATAATAAATACAAAAAATAAAATTAATAAAATGCGTTTATCCTTTTAATAAAGTAATAAATTATTTATTTATTATTTACATAATTAATTTATATGAAATTAAATATTATTTTAATCATAATCATTATTTTCTATATAATTATTCTATATAATTCAGTTTATATTTTTTTTCTATATGCGTATATATATGCGGAATTATGAATTATATAAAAATTGTTATTGGATATTATAAGAAGATAATTTCACATGAACAGAAATTGATTATTTTATTGATTATTCTTTATTTTTTTATTTATTTATTTAGTTTTTTATTTAGTTATTTATTTTTTTTATTTATAATATATAAATCTCATTAATAAAATTATAGTTATTAAGCGATATCTATGAGAATAATTTCTTATTATGCAATTAAATTTTTTTTTAAATTTGATTATTTTTATGATGCACGTATAATTAATACATAGATTCTTTATTAAACATATTGTTACATTTCAACATAATATAATTTGTAATTACGTTATAATAATTCATAAATTTTATTTCTATTTTTAATAATTTTATCTTATATTATGATTGTGTGATCTCGTGATAATTTGTTAAATTATTTACAAATATTACCTTTAATTGGTCATATAACAATCTTATTAATATAATTTTAATCTTAATAATTAATTTTAAATTTATTCTATAATTTATTCTATAATTTTATCTTAAATGTTATTTTTCTTTTTTTCAATAAAATCATAAACAAGATACAAATGAAATATATAATGTTCTTCTTATTATTACAGCAATTCCTTTTTAAGATTAATTAAATAAATAAATAATCTTTATTATGATTGGAGTTAAACTTAACGAAATTAATTTATAGTATTGGGGACTTTCATTTCGTTCCCAATAATTTATTTTCATTACTATATCAAAATAATTATAAATATAAAATTTAAATATTTAATTTTATAATTATTAAATAAAATATCCAAAGATATCAATAAATATCAATGAATTTAAAATTTTTTTTTATGATTTAAATAAAAATTATATAGAATTTAATAGATTTCAGTGTTTGATTTCATGTTAATTATTTGAAAAAAAGCAATACAACATTGCATACTTAAGTTACAAATATGATAATAATGAAATAAAATTTTAAGCTTTTATAATATTCGTTTATCTTTGTAAATACTTAACATTACGATATTTATATAGAGATATCAAAAAAGATTTTTTTATATCTATTAATATTACCAACTTTAATGGTTAAATTAAATATAGTTCCTAAAATTGCACTTCATATTTTAAAGGTTATAATATAATCTCTCAATCTTTTTTTTGATTGGTATTTTAGAATATAGAACATGAAATTCACTTACTAGTCTATTCTGTAGATTGTCTGTGATAAATTTTTATAACTTATTGAATATATTATTCTTTAAATAGATACTTTTGTAGTAAAAAAATTTATTATTAAAAAAAATATGAATATTTAAATGTATTAATCTTTCTAATATATTTTGAAATATAAATTATTTTAAACAAATTACGTGTTTTCATGCATTAATTATATGCACATCAAAGCAAAAAAATATATATTTATTTAATATAATAATATAATAAATTAGTGAATTGAAAAATATTGGATTAGTAAATGAAATTATATTTTAATAATGCTTACAATACAATTTGGACAATGTGGAAATCAATTAGGACATACATTATTCTCAGAAATATCAACTGATATGGAATGTGTAAATACAGGTGTATCATATAAAACTAATTATCAATACATAGAAGATACATTTAATAGGTGGTTTAGTGGTATAACTAAAAGTAATGACCGTTTAGCAAGAGCAATTCTTATAGATACCGAACAAAAGGTTATAAATAAAATTTATAATAACAAAAATAATTTATGGACATATTCAACAAAAAATGTAATTTGTCAAGCTGGAGGAGGTTGTGCAAATAATTGGGCATTTGGTTATTTAATAAAAGGTTATGAATTAAGTGATGTGATATTAAATTGTATAAGGCAAGAAATAGAAAAATTAGATCATTTTGATGGATTTCTTTTATTATTAAGTTCTGCAGGTGGAACAGGATCTGGCATTGGAAGTTATATTACAAAACTATTACATGAGGAATATAATAAAAAACCAATTCTTAATACAACAATATTACCATTTTCATTTGGTGAAGTATGTACACAAAATTATAATACATTATTAACTTTAGCAAAACTTTATAATGAAAGTGATATAAATATTTTATTTGAAAATGAACAAATATATAATATATGTACTAGTTTATTAAAAAAATCATCTATAAATCTACAAGATATGAATAAAGTTATTTCAAAAAAATTATTAGCTACATTTCAACCAGTAAATTATGAAAAACATAACATAAATTCATTATTATCTCAAATAGCATGTCATCCTTCATACAAAATAGCAATAATAAAAAGTACTCCACATATACCGGTAACATCTACAAGCTATGAACCAATATATAATTGGAATTCATATATCCATCATTTAAAGCAAACACTTAGAATACCAAATTTAAATTCACAGTTAACTAATGTTGAATTAAAAATGCCATCTAATTTATTAAGCAATACTATACATCATACATATGCTACTTCAGTATCAAATGTTTTAATAACACGTGGAACAATGTCAGAACAGGATCTTATAATGAAAAATATACTTAAAGAAAAACATTTATATGCAAACTGGAATACAATTGATTGGTTTACTCATTTACATCAAAATCGAAAATTTTTAAATCATGATAAATTTCTTGCTTTAATAACCAATAATTCTCAAATTTCTTATTCTCTAGATATATTTTTAAATAAAACTTGGAAATCTTATGTTCATTCTGCATTTTTACATCAATATAAACAATTCGGTTTAGAAGAGGATGATTTTCTACAAGCATTTTCAGTACTTGAAAATGTTGTAAAAGAATATAAAGAATTGGTCTCTCATACAGATTAATAATAAATTATAGTTGAATTAAATTTTTAATTTTTTAAGTATACAATAAAAAGAATAGTTTTATGATTTTTTGAAAACAATAAAAAAACATTAATTAAAATAACAAATTCAAATATTGAAAGTTTTAAAGGCATAAATGAAAGAATAACTATGACATAAGAAAATCGATCAATTTACGATATTATATAATATATGTATATATATATATACAGTAATAAAGAAATACAACAAGAAAAAAAAAAATTTAATATAGAAAAAAATAAGATAATAGATGGAAAATGAATAGATTTTTAATTTAATCTATAGAAAGAATAATAAAATAGAATGAATGTCTATAGTGGTAATATGCATCCCTTCTCTATGAAAAGTACATTTTGCGCTTGTGCGAACAAACAGCTAAATTCGACGAACATAATACAGAATGAAAAAGTTATTTCTAAAAAAAATATTTTCAAGAACAAATCATACTTCTGTCTTCTTTTTTTTTTACATTCAAGAAAAATCGAAAAGTTAAATTTCTTCGGAATACTTTCAAACATAGTAATATTATTTTTGAAATTATAATTAAATAATAATCCTAATGAAATTATAATTATTAATTATATTAAATAAAATTATATTAAATAATTAATGCATTGCGTTTTCATTGTTTAATATGATTTTTGAAATATTAAATAAAAATAAAATTATAAATATACAAACGATTAAAGAAATTTATATATACATATATATATATATATATATATAAATCTATTTACATATATCATATAAACAAATTCAAATATTTTTTATATCAATATAAGATAAAATTTTTAAATAAAATAAAATGTTTTATTATGGCTAAGATATTTCAAGATTTTAGTTTTAAACATATTATGTAAAGATAGAAAAAAAAGAAAGAATATATAGCGTGGGAAATACTATATAAACAACAGATGCACTATCCACATCGTTTTCTAGCATCGGTCAAGCGTTACAGGTATAGCTACAATTGTTTAAAACTTGTTTGCTTGTTTCTTCATTGTTCACTGTATATTTTAATTTGAACAACTTAAGATTAAATATACATATAAATATACTAATTTTTAAAATCTGATATAATATATAATATTTAAATTTATATATTTATATATTAAAAAAAAATTTTTCTGATTATAAATTTATTGTATTATATATATATATATTTTAAAATATATATAATCAATATATATATATATATATATTAACATATATGTAATTAACATAGAATTAATCATTATATCTATATTTTTTTAACAATGTATTCTTAAACTATAAAGTAGCAATTTTTCATAATATGGGGTTGAAGGAAATAGTATATATAAAAGTAGCGCCATCTAATAACTATACAGGACTGCAGTTCTATTTTTCTATAAATTTACTTATATATAATATATTAATATCTATATACTTTATATTTTTAATTAAATATATTTAAAAATTAAATCATTTAATTAAATCAAAGATATAATAAAAAACAGGATATAATAAATCAAAGATATAATAAAAAACATACCAAAATATATTATTTAATATATATATTTTAGAATATGTTCTATTAAAAGAAATTTTCTTAAGTATATTCATTTCTGTAAATCTATGTACAATACATCACATAGTAGTATTTGTACGAGACTCGAATACCAAGAGGTGTGGTTTGAATAGATGAACCTGTTCATCTATCTACTTATTTTGTCCCCTTCTGCTAGATATAGAATAATCGTCCTTATACATTTGTAGACAGGCGCACTCTGGTGTCGAAGCCATGGACGATGCTACGCGCCATTTTGTTTAGTGTCCGCTGGACGCGTCGTGCGTCAGGGTGTTGTGGGGTTGTTTTCATGACCGTCAACGGGAATACATTCGCGGCTCTCTGAGCTCGCTTGCACTTTAAAACGTATATAATAGTGATACTATTTAAACAGTGAAATACATATATGTATATTTTTGCATGATTATTGTGACATACAATACAAAGATACACTTCTTGAGAGAGTTGAAAACTCTCAGGCTTATAGTGTTAGATTCAGATTTGCAAAAACTTTGCAAATGCATGGCGCCAGATACAACTTTATGGATACTTCGTAAGAAATTACGACTGTCGCCGTCACCGTCGACAGATATTTTTTATAAAGGTGAGAGAAGAGGGGTTGTCTGAATTTAATCGATAAAGTGTCTCCCATACTCTTCCTCTTCCCCGTTTCCAAATACAAAACTTTTTATTTTATCTTTATTCGAATATTCGATGCTTCATGCTTCGACGAGTTTTTCGTACTAAATGTCGTGCGCCCTAACCACGATAGTGTCTCGCTTGTGCAAGTCGCTCGAGGAAAGTGAAAGCTTACGTTCCCAATCGTTCTGCATTGAACACGGATCTCATTCTGTCCGCAGTGGTGCACGTTTCGTGGGTCTTTTTCAAAGATTATAGCGTTACTTAGATCAAACTGTTGGTATTTTGAAACGTAGTTTTATTAAATTAAAAAAAAAAAAGATGTCTATAAAAAATAAATAATTAAAACTGAAACAAGTTTTTTAAATTAATTCATACATATTGAAATAAAAAAATTTTTATTGTTCATATTAAATGTTAAATGAAATTCAAAATAATAAAACGAAATTCCAAATTTTTCAAAACCAGTAAAATAATAAAATTGAGTACTGGTATGCAGAATAAAAAATATTTAATTTATATAAAAAATTTTATATGATTTAGAAAATATAATTTAAAAAAAAACTTTTTTTCTTAATAATTCATATGCAATTTTTATATTTATGAATTAAATGTAAAATATAATATCAAGTAAGTATATTTTTAACACAAAATACATAAAAAATTAGTATTTTGTCATTGAATTATTCTGATATATCTTTGTATAGTATATTATACTACAGAATATATATTATACTACATTAAATAAATACTTTATATTTTGAATTTCATTTCATATTTATTAAAAAAAATAGTACAGTTAATTTTTTTAATATATTAAAATATACTTTATTTAAATTTATATTGAGATAATAATGATAATACTGATTCTATCACTGATTCTATGTAGCATCGCGATCACTCAATTTATCGGGTGATTTCAACGCTAGGATGTGTAGCAAAACTTGCATGTTATTCTAATGAATATTTAACATGTATATATGCACATAATAAATACATTAATTTTTTTTTTATAAATACTTATAATTTTTTGATAAAAATGATGCAAATACAATAAATATAATAAATTTAAACTATCAGATTAATTTGAAATCTATTAATAAATTATTAGATTTAATTATTAAATCAAAAAGTTTTTTGCATTAGATTATACAAGAATTATTAATTTTTTATTTTATTATTCAGTTTAAGAAAAGTTTAATTATTTCTATAATAAATTAAATTTCTTCATTGAAATTCATATTGTTATTATTTCATTTATATTTTTATTGTCTATTTTATTATACAGATTATATTTCGTATCTTTTAGAGAAGACAGGGAAACTGAAATTTCTTCTATCATTTAACTCTCATTGCATCTCTCCCCAAGGGAGATTTTGTTCAAATAGGAACAAAAGTATAAAAAGTATAAAAATATAAATAAGTCAACAAAATATATGAATAATGAAAATATTATCATATATATTGTTGTTTACTTTAATGTAATATTACATTCATTCATTACGTTCTATGGAATAAACAATTTCTTAAATTTTTCTGTTATTTTTAATTAGTTTTATATCAAATTTTTTTCTTTTGTTTCATAATCTCTATTTTAAAAAGTATTTTTAGATTATTCTATAAATTTTTTGATGATTTAAAATCTTTTGATCTCCTCAATGTAATAGAGTCATGTATCTATGTATAACAAAAATATAAAAAATTGAAATTAACGTAATATTCTCTTAGTTTTATTAAATTTGTTATTATTTCATTTATATTTTTATTGTCTATTTTATTATACTTATTCTTAATATCATAATTAAATTTATTTTCTAATATATAAAAATTACTTTGTATTATAATAAATATTAATCTTATATTAAATATTTATATCATGTTTTCTTATACAATTATACAATATATAAAGATTACGATATTCTGGTCAGCTAAGCGAATCAGGATAGATATTGAATACTCTAGATATTATGATTTTTCCTAACTTTGATCACGAGTTTGTTCAAGAAAAAAAAAAGGTGCAACACCTTATTTTTTCAGAATATTGATCTGTTATGATTCTAGTAAAATCTTAAACAATTCTTTTATATTATTATTTTATATATTATAACCTTATAAAATGCAAAAGTCTCTAGAAATTCTTCGTATAATAAAAAAAAAAGATATATATATTTAAGCATACAGATATTACATATTAATATAAATACTTAAAGTAGTTATAATTATTCATATTAGTTAGAATAATAATACAATGTTATACAATTTTATATTCATATTATCTTCACATTTTGAAGATCTGAATTTCGGGGGTTGTACTAAATATGTAAACTTACCTAGACTTCAGCACAGGTGTTTAGGATTAATCCAAGGCACGCCTACGAATGACTCACTATACAAAACTTCGGTATGCTTTTTTTCCTTTTTGTAGCGCGAAAGGGTGCCATGTTTAAACCAGTATCTGATAGAAATTTTTATAAGACTGATTAAATTTTTAAATAATAAAAATTTTATAATTATAATTAAAAGAATAATATTCACTCTCTTATAAATTATATCTCATGAGACAAAATTTTTATTATTAAGTTAAAATTAACTTAAATTTTAATTAAATCTTTTATTTTGCACTCCATTATTAATTTTTTTGTTAATTTCCTCCTTAAATATATTTTTTATAGTTAATTAAAAATTATTTAAATATAATTCGATTTGACTTAAGAAATTTGCACAAAAAATAAATCTATAATTGTTAAATATGTGACAGTCACATACCACGCCTCTTACTAGATTGACATTCCATTGAATCAATATTATATTAAAAAGTTTAAGTGATTTCTTATTTGTTTTTTGTCTTTTTCACTCAGTTTTACTCTTGTAATATTGTGAAGAATAGCATCTTTTGATTATATATGTACAACATGCATGTAAAAATCAATTTTTTTATTTGAAATAATATTAATAAAAATTTATCATAAATTACATTATCATATTATATATTTTGTTATAGAATTGAAATAGAAAAAAATAAGAAATCATGCGCACTCCCGCTGAAACAGAAACACTGTCTCAACCTGAGATATACAAATTTGAACCTCAGGAGACAGAAGCATCATCGGGAGTTAATCAAGTTGTTTTGTCACCTTCTCATCCAGAAGCACACATATTTACTAATAGGTAAGAATATAAAAATTTTTACTGCACTAAATATATTATATAATAATATAAAATATTTATTTATACAATGAGAGTCAAATTAATAATATTGGATATATAATCTCAAATATAATATATTAAAAACACTAATATTTTTTTATTATCAATTTATATATAGTTTATATTTTTGCAATTAATTTTTAATGTATGCAACAAAATTTTAAAAAAAAATTATTTAATAAATTCTTTATCTTTAAGATGTATAATTCCTTTTGACTCTTACTATAAATATTCTTACTATAAATTATAATATTTAAAATATTCGCCTTATTATATTAAATTACGCGCGTACTATTACGCATGCGTACTTTTAATTACTCACTATGAAACATTTCAAGAATATTATTTAAAATTAATATATTTATTATGAAATAACGTTAATATATTTAATATCTTGATAATAATTCTTATAAAATTTCAATTGTCTATATGATGGAAAATATAAAATAATTATAAATTTTTTAGCATTTTCAAATTATAATACATTATACATAGTTACGAACAATATTGTTTAATTGATGTTTAATCTAGAATCTAGATAAACGATAAATGTAGCCCTCTACCGACGAACTTCTTAGTTTACGATATGTTTCGTTCTCGTATGCGTCTTGCATAGTTTTATCATTCTTTTTTTTTTTTTTGTTTATTGTATAAATGTTCAATTAGTGGCATGATTTTGTGACACTTTTTCTCAGTGCATAAGATAAGATTATTATATCCATATGCTACGCATAAAACGATGGTATTTACACGATTTTTCCTCCGGAAGACACAAAATGACGATACGGCCATTCCAAAGAATGTCGGTACGAGGAGGTGAGCATGAAGGCCAAATCGTCGGAATGCGCTTCCGATAACGGCACCATCATTGACGACTTCAATCTGGTCCTTGTACTAAACATTTATATAAAGTCGTACTGATAATCTTTGTTAATTTATTATATATTTATATCATAGTTAATCAGACGACATGTATTTGTATTATTTTCATGAATTTATAGTTTTGTCAGATATGACTTTATTATATAATTTAAACATTTTTGATAAATACAAAATATTATTGCTCAATAATGCTGTAGTAATAAGGTACATATTACATTTCATAGTATATTATAGATATGTTGGTATATTATAGATATTAATATTTGTATTTATCGTCTTATTTACGATAGCCACTTGTTTCACAGGTTATATGTTTGACAGGTGTACAAATCATTTATAAAATTTATGTCAATAATTAACGATTCTTTTCTACATAAATATCATTAATTTTACTTGCTTCAGTTATATTTACCTATTTCGTGATCTAATATAACGATATATTTTGATATACATATATGATGTTGATTATACGCATATATATGTAATAAATCGCTTTGTTGTGATCACGAAACATTACAAAAGTTTTAATCAATAGATTTTTTAATTAGATTTACTTTATAAATCTTACCTTATAAATTTATAAAATAAATCTAATAATTGAAAAAAACATTAAAAAATGCTAAGGTCATTATATAAAATGTATATTTATTAACAATATATTTATGATCATAATATAATTAATTTATTGTATTATTTAAATTAAGTCTTCTTTTAATTAATTTTTTAATCAAAAATATTTTTCAATCACATTATTTGTAGAGATCTAAATTCAATTATTATGATTTTAAATTTGAAAAAGATGATTTACTATTAATAAATCTACAATTTCATATTTAATATTAATATAGTTTAAATATAAATATAGTTTATTTTTATTAATCATAATATCATTTATATACAATATATATATAATGTATTAAATAATAAATAATTATTTTTAATATAAATATTTTTACTTAAATAATTAATTATTTAAATATATATATATTAAATATATATTATTTAAATATATATAATAATAATTTTAAAATAACATATGTAATAGTGAATGAGTGTATATATATATATATATATATATATTCATACTTCTTAGTAATATATAAGTAACATTAATAGTTTTTTGTTTGCACTATTTTTCTTATAATTCTTATATAATCTTCTTAATATTTCAACATTCAATATCAATATATAGTACATTGGTTGAAAATGAAAAATGAAGTTGGATCTTTAAAAGATAAAATAATGAAAAATAATGAAAAAAAATTTTTTTTTTTCTTCATTTTATAATTTTTCATGACATGATATTATTTTTAATATTTCTAATTATTTATTTTAGCATGTTATGTATCCAAGAAGAATTAGGTCAGTTGAGTGGAATTGCAGGAGGTCCTATTATTCCTGATTCACGTGATGCTCAATTACCTAATAACAATCATAGCAATTCGGAAAGCAATAGTAATTCTAGTGAAACAGCAACAAAATGCACTCCAGTTTCTGGAACTTTAGATGCACAAAGATCAAGTTGGGTGGAAGGTATATTAGGATGTATGCGTCCAGTTTGGACTATGCTTTCAAAGGCAGCGGTAAATGAAAAAATTAAAGGACATCAAAGTAACTATTTTTTTTTATAAAATTCATATATAATATAACATATAATAATAATAATATTATATTTATAAAATTATAATTATTTTATATTTTATATTTTATAGCAGATGATTGGGAAATACCATTTGAATCAATTAGTGAACTTCAATGGCTTGGATCTGGAGCTCAAGGAGCAGTATTTAGTGGAAAATTAAATAAAGAAGTTGTAGCTGTAAAAAAAGTACGGGAACCACGTGAAACTGATATACGGCATTTGCGAAAGTTAAACCATCCAAATATTGTTCAATTTAAGTATGTTTTTATCTCTTTATAATATATTTATAATATATAAAAATAATGATAATTTATTGCAAATAAATAATTTGTTTATTTTTTAGAGGTGTTTGTACACAAGCACCGTGTTATTGTATAATAATGGAATTTTGTCCATATGGACCACTATATGATCTTCTTAGAGCTGGTGAACCAGTTCCACCCCCAAGATTAGTATCCTGGTCAAAACAAATTGCTGCTGGAATGGCCTATCTTCATGCACATAAAATTATACATAGAGATCTTAAAAGTCCAAAGTATGTGTGTGTGTCATTTAATTTAATATAAAATTTATATACATTTTTTCTCAAATTGAATAATTTTTTTATTTATTTAATATAATAAAAATATCTATTTATTCTTTGAATATTATATATTATTTCAGTGTATTAATAGGACAAGGAGAAGTTGTAAAAATTAGCGATTTTGGAACTAGTAGAGAATGGAATGAAATTAGTACAAGAATGAGTTTTGCTGGTACAGTTGCTTGGATGGCTCCAGAAATTATTCGAAATGAACCTTGTTCTGAGAAAGTAGATATATGGTCATATGGTGTAGTATTATGGGAACTTTTAAGTGGAGAAATACCTTATAAAGATGTGGATTCTTCTGCAATCATTTGGGGTGTAGGCAATAATTCTCTTCATTTACCAATTCCTGCAAGTTGTCCAGAAGGATATAGGTTACTTGTAAAACAATGTTGGGCTGCAAAACCACGTAATAGGCCTTCCTTTAAACATATTGAAATTCATCTCGGTATTGCAGCAGTTGAAGTACTATGTACTAAACCTGATGATTATTTTAAGACACAGGTAAAAATTTTGAAAATAAAAATTTTTAATTTATTTAATTTTTCTTTTCTTTAAATTATTTAAAATATAATATTTATATTTTTATTACAGCAATCTTGGAAAAAAGAAATTAGGGATCATATGAAACAAATGCAGACAAATAGTTGTAGCAGTCCAAGATTTGAAGCTGATCTCATTCGACGACGTGAGGATGAATTAAGACATGCTCAAGATATTCGAGAACACTATGAACGCAAACTTGAACGCACTAACAATTTATATTTAGAATTAAGTGCTGTTTTATTGCAATTGGAACAACGTGAACGAGATGTAATTAAGTAAGTAATAAATTTGTAGTGGAATATTTGTATGATTAACAATAAATAATAAATATATTTTATTTTTTAGACGAGAACAACAAAATGGATATAAGCAATGTAAGAAACGACTTGTACATCCTCTTTTAAAGGCTCAAGAAAGACTTCATCGTAGACGTAATCCTCAATTTTCGACATCATCTACTCCAACGACTCCACCATCTCCAACAGATTGTCCTCAAAGTCCTATAAAAGCAACTATGTATACACAATTAAATGAATCTAATCAACCAGAAACAGTTTTAGCCCCTAATAATAGTTTTAAACAACGCAAATATAGACATCGCAGAGTAGGATCTGGTTGTGGTGTAAACTCTAGTCCACGATCAAGTCCTCATCGTGAAAGAAAAGTATGTATTTAATTTGAAGATATATATTTGTTATTTAATAAAAATATAGCGCTGAATGTATCTTTGTTTTCAGAGCACAGAAGTATGTGCACGTTTTGTTGACAATCAAACACAAACAGATATAATGGATATTAATGAAATTGATTTTAATCCTGTTGAACGTATAACAATTCCATCAATAGAAAAGCTTTCTGTAAATAGTCTTAATAAACAATCATTAAATAAGCAAGCAGCAGAGTGTTTAAATGGAAATTCAGTTTTATCCGAAGCTCATTATAGAATAGAATCTAGTCCATGTTCCAGTCCTGAACCTTCAAACGAAAATCGTACAAATGGAAATGAACGTTTAAAGGACTGTAGCGATGATGATAATCTAGAAACGCTTGGCCGAAAAGTTAGTGAAATTATTAATGCTAATCGTCTTATTTCTTCTATAGATAATGGAAATTGTGATGATATAATACAACACAGGTAAAATATTTAATATATATATTTAAAAGTATAAAATTAATAAAAAATATAAAAAATATGAAATTTAATAATAATAATAATTAGAACTAACAAATAATTTCTTTTAGAAGTAAAGAAGAATCTATAAAGTTACCTGGACATTTTTGTGGAATAATTATTAACAATACACCACAAGAACAATCAGAAAGTAAAAATCGACCTTGTTCCGAAAGTATGGATACTTTATGTGATCGTGAAGATGATGCATGTGAAGAAAGTTGGTCAGATGAAGAGGGTGAAGATCCAAGTTATACATATAATTATTCTCTTAGACGAAGAAGGTATTTTTTAATGTAATGTGAAAACATCAAATTAATTTATATTCTAATTTAATTTATTTTATAGTATTGCAAGAAGACCAATTGGTCCTGGATGTAGATTAAGAAGATTTAAACATGCAATGGTACGAATAGAAGGAGTATTAGCTTCTGACGAAGAAAATACTTCTGAATATTCACATCCTCCGTCCAGTCAATCCTCCACGTTAGAAAGTAATCCCGATATGCAAAGAGTATTTCGTAATATTCACTATTCTCATAAGGTGAGTTAAAATAAATATTATTTGTAATTTTTATGTAAGATATAATAAATTATATTTTTGTTTTTATTTAGAGAAAAGAAATAGATGATGTTTCTGATACATCAAGTCAATCAGAAACAGATGAAGTCAGTGAGATTACAATTGCATCTCAACCAGTAGATGCAAATTTAAAAATAGAAAGTAGTGTATAAATTAACAAATTTTTTATATTTCATTTTCGAGTGATATATTACAGTACCTAACAGCCAGTGCATTTTTGTAATGTATGTTTTCATTCTGTGTTAAATATTGTAGATATTTATCAATTTAAGATATGTTAGATATATATGTACATTAATTTTGCATTATACATTATTATTAATGAAATATTAAATGCAATGCATTATTTATCAATGAAATATTAGATTAATATTATCGAAATATTGAATAGTTACTGAAAAAAGTTTGAAATCACATTCTAAAACAAAATTAGAGTTAAATTATTTTTTTTTTTTTGAAGTTTATTATTCAAATTCAATAATTGAATTAATTTAATGAAAATATATTTTCTATCATTATTTATGATATAAATTATTCTACAGAAAAATGGACATTTAAATCAATAACTATTTTTTCTAGGAAAAATATTAAGATGTAGATTTATGATATTTTCAACGGAAATTAAAATTTGTAAAAACATGTTATTATATAGTATTATATAGTATTATTTAATGACATGTTATTATATAGTATTATTTGTAAATATATGCACCTCATGCTTTCATACGAAAAAAGAAAAAATTAACACTTAAAATATTCATTCCATTATGTTTTACTTTGTTTTATAGTTCCTTTTAATAAATATAGAATTTTCAGCTGAATATGAGTTTATTATCAATGATAGCATTTATTTCATATATTAATAAAAATTAATCAATTAATGAATCAATCATTCCATGATCAATGAATGCAATAATTGTATTCATTTGTATTTATAAACAAACTCTACAGTAGTATAGGACCAATTAAAAAAATAATAAACTCATATATTATAAAATAGTTTGAAGAGGAGTTTTATATAGAAATATAATAAAGTCATAAAGTAATAAATGTTGTATTAGAAAAACATAATTTCAAAAATGATTTAAAAAATATGTAATGGAATGACAATTATTAAAAATTAAATGTTACAACATAAGTGCCTATGGCAATTTTCATAAAATATACCAAATAGTGACTATTAAAGTAAAATAACAAAATTTATTATCATGTGCAATATGAAATAATTAAGCTTGTAATTGGAAATAGAATCACATCAGTACAATAATTTTTCAACTCAACAAATATTCCGATAGAATTAAATTATAAATAACATGAGGTATTGCATTAAAATTTTATTGCAATAAAGTCATTAAATATTTTTGATGCACTAAAACTTTTACCAATAATCTTACTATAAAATATATTAATATACTACATGTCACAAATTTTATTGTTTCATTTCTTAATTAATAAATGGAAACAATCTAATTTAATGACTATGTTTAAAAAAATTAATATAAGTAATATTATAATGTAGTCAAACAAACAATGCAGGTTGTCTGAGTTTCAAACTGAAACTCTTAATAGTATTGGACTGTATGTAAAAGTCATACTCATTCTTTTAAATCAGTAACAATAAGTATATAGTATTTACATGCAAAACTAAAATATGTTAACTCAATTGTCCAAAGTACTGTTCTGCATCCATCTATTGTACCTGCTTTGAAACTCAAATTGCCTTAATGACAATTATACATTGTACATATAGACAATACAGTATATGAACTTAAGAAAATAGCAGCTAAGATATAACATATATCTAACACGTGCTCATTGGACGAAATAATTAATAAGATATACAAAGATGTACTTTATAATAATCATATATATTATATCTATTATATTTATGCGAATAGTTGCATAAATTGTTCCTTCTTGTGCAGTGGCAGCTAAACTGATTAGTTTTATTATTCCTTAATAATAAATGCGATACACAAAATTTGTGTTATAAACAAATAAAGTTGATTTACAATAATTGATTTACAATAATTAAATGTTTAATTAATAAAATAATAATAAAAATCTTAAGAGCATGATATAAGTTATTCGATAATTCAATTTTGTTAAAATAAAAGTTCTTTTATATAAGATAGAAAGTGTTAATTATTTATATTCATTCACATTTGAAAATGAAATATATTATTTAAAATTTTCATTTAATTAAAAAGTTAATATACATAAAGAAAAATAAAAATATATATTATGATTTTATTTCATATATAAATATATTAACTTATTAAAATATAAATATTTCCACAGCCTATCTTTAATAATAAAGTATACACATTATTATTACTACTATAATAATTATTTAATATTATTATATTAAATATATTATAATTATTATTAATATAATATTGTAAAAAGAAGCTTCTTATAAGCAAGAAAAATTGCTATAAATACATAAAAATAATGAAATATTTTGAATAGTTTTCACTTATAATAATTTACTATTATAATGTATATATATATATATATATATGTATATGTATATAATATATATAATATATATATATTATAAATAATAATTTAATTAAAATATATGATATTATAATTTGAAATTAATTCTTTTTTCTACAGTTAATGCAGTTTTATATTTAGCATAAAATATTTATGTGAATAAATTTTGTTCATATTTATCAAATTATTAGTTATAATTTTTTTTATTCTATTATTGAACATATAAAAGTTTTCAACTAATCTTTTAAAATATTATAATTTTTAAATATTTTTATCATTTTTCTTTCAACTATAATTTTTATTACATTACATATATACAGTTTAATTAAAAATAAATAATAAATATAGACATCAAAGATTTACTATTATTATCAAATGTAATAAAAACTAAATTTATTTATGCTTTTAATATATATTTAATCTATTTTAATAAGTATAACAAATATTTGAATACAATACTGAATATAATGAATGATAAGTTTGACATAATAATAAAATAAATAAAAGTTAAAAAATATCAAATTATCAGATCAATGATTAAAGTTACTTAATATAAATTTTTGCATAAAGTTATAGTTTCAAATATTTTCTAGTTTTATTAAATTGTTCATTGATAATAGAATAAAAAATAATATTTATTGTACTAGAGCTTATAAATTTACCAATAAAATGAATTATGCAGAAATTCAGCAGTGGATTTATACAATGATGATGCACTTTGTCTTAATCCAGTAAGTAATGATACAACTCCCTCTTTTTCATTTTCTTGCTCATCTTCTTCAGGTAAATAATCTGGCATATCTTCAGTATCACCATTATTTCCTGTATGAATCTTCAAGTAATAAATTTTATTAATAAAATAATCTTAATAAATTTCATAATCTTAAAATTTAGAAAAACTATTATGCATTTACCAATTTAACAAGATACTCTTGATTGTATTTATTTCTTGTTACTAATCTTGCTTCCATATTTTCTGAATTTCTTTGTATAGCTTCTGCAATTTGTTTTGCAGTAACATAACTTAAAGTACGCATTGTAACACGTTGATGTTCTACATCAACTACAAGGGAAACTAATCCATTGATTCTTATTAATATTCCTTCTAATTCTGCACGAGTTTCCTATTTCACATGAATTCACATTAATATTTATAAAAATATTTATAAATTTATAAAAACAGTAACAATGTAAAATTAATACATATATATATATATATATGTGTATATTATTTAAATATACCGGTAATAAACCTTGAATATGTAACACTATTACATGAGTTTTTAATTTTTTAGGTTCTATAACTCTTCTACATCTGCTACGTAAATTATATATTGGTGGTTTCATTCTTTCTATATCATCTTTTATACATTGTGCTCGTTTAGATATCTTTGGTTCATCTATATTATACTTATTTATAATTGCATCCAAAGCTTCACGAACTCCAAAAGTAGAGGTTATATGTACATAGTTATCCACGTTTTTAACAAATAATTCCAAAATATCTAAACTCAAATTAATAATTTCAAAATCTGGTATTTCTAAAACGTATGCTACATATGACAAAACTGTTTTATCCTGAAATAATAAATTGTTAATAAAAAAAATTAAATATAAATAAATTTGAAAATATTACCTTTAAAATTGTGTCATGGTTTGCAAAATCATTTGCCAATTTTTTATATGTTTCAAGGGTAACTTTTAATTCTTTTGGATCCAGAGATTCACTCACGTCCATTATCTAAAATTGTAATGTTGATAATAATATATTTTTATATTAATATTAAAACAGTATATTAATTATTAAAACAGTAAGAAAGATTTTTTTATTATTACTTATAATTATCTGATTGTATTAACATTGATAGATATAAAAATTAAAAGAATCTGTCAATATTTTTATTTTTTAAACGATTAATAACTGTAACATGAGCTATGCGATAATGAAATACATTTATGATTTAACTGATATGACAAATTTCAGAGAATAAATTTGAAATTCTTTATTAGGTTAAACTTTATACATTTACAATTAAATTATACTCTATATAATATTAAATAAGAAATAATTTAATTTTTATTATTATATAAAATTATATTATTTTTAAAAAATACAAAAATAGCATAATATTAAAATTTAAATTTTTATATAAAAAATATATATTCTTCATAATAATAAAGTTGCTTTTTAGAAAAAAAATATATATATATATATTTGCATACACTTAATGTATGTTTAAATTTTGTGTATAAATACGTATATACACAAATTATGTGACATAATCATATACATGCATAAATACATGTAATACACATATATATTTTGATGTATCAGTTTACTTTATGTACTTTATGTAGTAATAACACTGGTAAGTCATGTTACAACCAGCTGCTGCCAGATTATTTCGATGACGCGCATATTGTTGAATAGTAGCGAACCTAGTGTTTGTATAACGTACTAAAATAAGATGGCTGACATTCACTCTACTAGCTACCAACAGCATAATACCCGTATTAATTCTCTAATGAATTTCTTCCTTATTTTACGTAAATAAATATCTTAAATACTCATCCATTAGTGTTATACTAAGTACTGGTAGAAAGAAATTGATGTAATATACGATATTAAACGCATATTGAAGATAATAGAAAAGTTAAATTAAACAGTACGTAAAGTAAAAACATACATCTGACGTATTTTTAAATATACATGTAAAAGTGATTATTCGTTAAGAGTGATAGTGTAAAGTGTATATTGATTGTTAAAACAATGGAATACGTACTGATAAAAGACATACGGCCGGGACAGAAAAACATTAATGTAGTGTTTATTGTTCTGGAAGTTGGTCACCCTACTATTACCAAAGAAAACCGCGAAGTTCGAACATTTAAAGTAGCAGATGGTACAGCATGTATGAATGTTTCAATTTGGGACGAACCAGGACAGCTTCTTGTACCAGGTGATATTGTAAGATTGACAAAAGGTTATGCATCTGTTTGGAGACAATGTTTAACATTATATTCAGGAAAAAATGGAGATATACAAAAAATTGGAGAATTTTGTATGGTAATAAATGAACAATTGAATATGAGTGAACCAAATCCTGCTTTAGCACAACAAATGATTAATCAAAGTGGATCTGGTCCACCTGGTAGTAATAACAATAGTATTACAAATAATGGAAATGCAAATAATATTGCTGGTCAACCTGGAAGACAACCATTAGTATGTTATTATCAAATAAACTCGTATTTTTTAATTAAATATTTATTTATTTATTTATTAAACAAAATCCATTAATATTATATAATATTTACATGTATTAAAATAGAGAAATATTTACATATAATTAAAATAGAATGAAATTAAAAAATAAAAGAATATTGCTAGTATTAAATTTATTAATAATAAATAATAATAAATAATAAATAAACAATATATAATAATAAATAAACAATATAATGTGTTTTTAATATTTTTTGTTAATATTAATATTAATATTAATTTATTTTATTATAGGCAATTCAAAGTAATTCAACTACACCTACTAGTGGTACATCTGGTAGTTCTACAACAACAAAAAGTGGAAATAATAATAATAGTAATAGTGGTGGAAATAGTAGTAATACCTCAGGACTTCCAGGAGGATCTGCAAGATATTCTGGTGATTCAACAACAAAAACAACTGTTACACCAAAGACTAATTCTCGTGGTCGTGGGGGATACAGAAATGGTGGACGCAGTGATCGTAGATAACATATAAATAAAAAACGTTTAATTATATATGTGTAATAAAAATATGCGATTATATTTAGGTCAACTGTAATATACTGTTTTTCTAACAATTCTGTATATGTATATTCATGAATTAATGTATACGATAAATCTTGTTAGAATATATCTTCATGAATTGAAGACAATCCAATTTAATAGAATAAGTAACAAGTAATATCATCAATGATATCTTAATATTTTATTTAAATATTTTTTATTTATATAATTAAATTCTTTATATCTTATAAATTTCCTTATAATTTGGAGCTTGTCTTCAAATCATAATAGAAATATTAAATTTCTCTTATTCTAATAAATGAATGTAATATATATAAAGTATATAATCTGCATTTAGTAAAAAATGCATTTAGCAATAAATAATTTTATTTAGTAATTTTTTAAAATATATTTTATAAGATAAAAAAATAATTATATATTATATATGTATATTTAATTTACACTGAGTAAATAAGAATGAAATAATTTTCAAAAAATTTTAAAACATTTTTTAATATATATATTTGTATATGAATTTTTTATTTGATGTTATAAAAAACTCATATAAAAATATATTTTAAAATAAAAATACATCAATTTTTTATATTTTTATTAAAAATGTTAAATAGAGAATTTAATATTATTTATATTTATAACTTAATATAATATAATACATCTATTTTGTAATTTAATATAATATTTCATCTATGTTAATATATAAAATAAAAATTGATTTAAATTTTTTAATAAAAAAATGTATCACGCATTATAAATTTTAATTATTTAATTGTAGATTTATGTTAAGTATTTGTGTTTATTTTGAAATCAATAATTTTGAAAAGACTTAATCAAAGAATTTATACATAATTTTTTTCTATAAGTAAATTTATTATCACAGGAAATTTAAAACTAATAAGAAAATTTCTAAAATAATATTTATCAAATTATGCATATACATATTTTTGTTTTTTAACAATAATATTTAGGTTATGTTTATATATGGCTTAACGCTTATATCGTATGTCATATCGAAGTAAGTGATAACGATATGTATTTTAATTTTTATTTTCTTTTAAGTGTTCTCGTTGTAATTTTGAATACAGCATAAATTTGCATAATGAATGCAATAATTTTGTCTACATTAGTATATGATTAGTTTTATTATTAAATATATAATTTGATAACAGATGTCTAATATTAAACATATAATAATTTATGACTATTTTTTATGTATTTAAAGAATTATAAAACGGTACGTTTAACATATTTATTATAATATTTAATTATATTTTACTACATTGCATAATGTTCATAATTTATAAATTTTTATAAATTTTAATCAAAAATGTTAAATTAAAAAAAATAAAAACAAAAAATAAAAATGATATTTTATAAAAAAATTTTATTAAAAAATTTATTTGATAATTATTTATTTCATATAAATATTTTAACATTTATGTTATGTAGTAAACAAATTTATTTTTGCATTTTTAAAAATAATATAAAAATAATATATGATAAAAATTTATACTTACAGATTATATTTATTTCAAAATATGACAAGATCACATATAAAATATCAAATTGCAAAAGATGCAGATGATACATCAGATTATTTTCTTCAACCAGTCCAAGAACTTTCAAATATATCCAAAAAGGAGATATCTCTTTGGAAAAAAATTTTTCGAACTATTACATTAATTTTTTGTTACTTTATCTTATCTGTAGGTTTAACATTTTATGTACAATGGCTTTATAATACATATGTAAGTGAAGAATTTTATAATTTATAAAAATTTATTATCTAATTTAATTTTATTTATGTGTACTTATTTTTTAGGGATTTCATTTTCCACTTACTGTGGTAATATGTCATTTATTATTAAAATTTTTGTTATCTGCTTTAATAAGATGTATTAAAGCATGTTGGAAAAAACAACAGCAATTAAAACTTCCTTTACAAAGCATAATAGGAATGGTTATGCCAGTTGGCATAGCTAGTGGTCTTGATGTTGGTTTATCAAACTGGGCAATTTCACTAATTACTATGTCATTGTATGTATCTATTATTTTACATTAAGAATATGATAAAATATGATAAAATATGATAAAATATGTTAATAAAATATATGATTTAGATATACAATGACAAAATCAACTACTATCATTTTTATTCTTGGATTTGCACTTTTTTTGAGATTAGAGAAAAAGGTAATTGTAATAATTTTTTTATGTGAACATTGTAAATATAAAATATATTTAAAAAATAATTTTGTTATAGTCTTGGTCATTATCATGTATTGTAGTAATGATATCAGGAGGCTTATTTATGTTTACTTACAAATCAACACAATTTGGAATTTTCGGATTTGTAATTTGTCTCTTAGCATCATTTTCAAGTGGTATTCGATGGACTATGACACAATTAATTATGCAGAAATCTAAATTTGGAATGAAAAATCCAATTGATATGATGTACTATATGCAATTGTGGATGTTATTACCTATTGTACCAGTAATGATATGGTTTGAAGGTATATATATATATATATACACAAACATATAACTATATATATTTCTTGTTTAATTATTTTATATTGTATTTAAAAATCATGTTAATTTGTTTTCAAAAAAAATATTATTTTTAGGACCTCGTCTGTATAATAATTTTAAAAATACTGATTGGAATAATGTGCATACTATTGCAATGACTGTAACTGCTATATTTGGAAGTGCTATTATAGCTTTCCATATGGAAATTATGGAATTTTTAGTTGTTACATACACTTCTAGTCTTACACTTTCAATTACTGGCATAATTAAAGTAAGCTAAAAAATATATATATGTATATACATAATATATTTACATACATACATAATATATTTATGTAAAAATCTTTCATTTTTTAGGAAATATGTATTTTGATTTTAGCTGTGGAATGGAAAGGTGATCAAATGAGTGGTCTTAATTTCATAGGGTTATTAATGTGCCTTTGTGGAATCATAATTCATACTATCCAAAAAGTATTATCAAATAGAAACAAAATAGCTGAAAATTTGGAATTACAAGTAAATTCTCTTTCAAGTAACAATTTAAAAAATGAAGATGGTATTGATACAAATTTACCTTTATTAACTCAAAAATCAACATCGTTAACAAATCTTTTAAATGCAGAATTCAGTTCAGATGAAGATGATACATTTAAACATGGTGAGAATTCTACTCAAATATTATCTAATATATTGCAACGTAGGGAACAGTAAAATTTAAACTTTAATATTATTATTATTAGAGTGATAAGATTTATTCTAAAAAATCATTCCATGTTTAATTATATACCTCTCTCATATAAATATTTTATATGTATCTTTACACATGAATTTAATTATTAATCATTAATTAATAATTATCACAAATGTTTCTTTTTTAAGAGTATGATTTATGTCTGCAAAATTATTTCCACTAAATCTATATTTTTTATATTATTTTATAAAATAAAAAAAAATTTTTATTCAAACAAAAATTTTAAAAATAACAAATATGTATATGGTAAACAAAATTTAAAAAAAAATTATATTATAATTATTATTATTTAATTATTTACTTATAGTCTGTATTATTAGTTTCTTGCCAAAAAATAGCATAATTATACAGTACTATTAATAGTATTTTTTTCAATTGATCTTATTTATAATATATATCTTCGTATGTAAACATATAAAATTTCCGGAAAAAAATAAGCATAATAATAGATAAAGTAAATTGAAATTGAATGAAAACTGCATATTTTATGAAATTCTAGTGAAAATGAAATTAATTTTAGATTTAATTAACAACTTTTTAGTCATAATTTTTATAAAAAGACAATTTTGTTTTTTACTTTTTTATAATATACATAAATATATATATGATTGATAATTTGTTACATTCATAAATCATTTTTTATATACATGATTTTAATAAAATATTTTAATACAAAACAATTATAAATTAAAGAAAATTTTTTTTTTGTGTTATATAATATTTATTTGATCTTATGATGTTGATTTGCATAATAATATGAATGATATAATTTGTCAAAGAAATTTATTTAATATATATATATATATTCTCATATTGAGAATATTATAATTTTTATTTTATAATTTTAAACTATTAATAATAAATTTTGCATACATAAATATTGTGTTATTTCTTAATTTTTAAATAATAAGTATTGTAAAATTCACCTATTAAGAAGTAAGAAATATTTAATAAGATTATTTCTATAATTTTCTATAATTATTGAAACATAACTTGTATGTATTCACATATCTTATATTTATCGCTATGATATATGAGAATAAAACGCATAAAAATATATATTTAAATATCGTACTTAGAAGTACGATTTACATAGTTAAGTATAAGTAATTTTTTTATTTTGAAAATCAAGAATTTTATTAGTGACGAGCATATGATTATCTATTCTTTAAATATTTAAGTTGATTCGTCTTAAAATCGTTATTAAAACAAACTTATTTTTTATATACAATTATATTATGACAGAAAGAATAAATATGATATATGCAAAAAATCTCTTATAATTATTTTATCTCTTATAATTATTTTTTGAAATAGATTAATAAATAATTTTTACCTATGTAATTTAATAAATTATTTTGTAAATTTATTATTTTGTTTGTTTAATTTGATTAGTCTTTTTAGATTTGGCTTCAATTCTTTCTTCTAGTTTATGAATCAAATCATTTAATTCTTCCTGTTTAAAAAGCAAACATTTAAATAAAATTATTATTTATAAAAACTACTTGAATTTATTGAAAAAAAGACATATTTACCTCATTGTATGTATACATTAGAGTAAAATGTTTTAAAATTTGCTTTTTTCTATTAAATAATTGTAATGCATGTAATAAACAATAAACACTATCATCTTGTGAATTATTAACTAATGAAACAAATAAATTAGCTCTACAAGTTTCACATTCAAAATCACCATCATCTTCTTTCACTTTTTTTCCTTTTTTTCTTTTTCCACTATCTGGCAAGGGTAATCTTTCTTTATTTGTGAGACCTACTGATTCTAATTCTTTACGATAATTTATTTCTTTTTCGCGAATTTTAATTACACTTGGTAAAATCTATAAATATAATATATTTATATACCTTTTATATATATATAGTGTTTATATTTTAATAAGAGTTATTAGCTTTAATATTTACCTGTTTTAATACTTCTATATGAGATCTAGAGTCATTAATAATGTTAAATAATAATCTTTCAAATGAAAAGATTGATGGTTCACAACTGTCTTGTATATCCTATAATAATTATTTAAAATTATTTTGATATATTATAAAATATAATATAAAAAATAGAAAAATATTATTTACATACTTTAAATACTTGTTCAGCAGTTTCTAGCCAAGATAGTTGTGCAAAATAAACACTTTCAGATACTACATAACCAGTACATATACTTGATGTAAATGCTTTAGGAAATACAATTATAAACTGTCCTGGTTCTTGTACAGTCTGACATAATGATACTCCATTACTAACCAATAATTCTGGAGGAACCATTGCTGTATCTGATGGTAGCCATATAGTTTTATTTTTACAATATCGTGGAACCATTTTTGAAAGAGCCTCTCTAAAATTATTGTTATGTTCATCTGGTATACCGTACCAAATCTTCTTAGCACCAGTATGTAGATATTCTATCCAAGGAAGACCATGAGGATCACGATACCAACAACATGCGCTAAATAACATACCTACATGAAGTGTTGGTACTGTCACACCTATAAATAAAATTAAAATATTTATAAAAAAAAAAAATAATTAGAAGCTTAAAAAAATATTTTCATACCCATTATGGGACCTAAAGCTCTTAATACTGATCCAGCATTATTAGTAAGTACTTTAAGATTCCATGGATGTCTTGCAAATGGACTATTTTTAGCAACTGAAAATCCAAAACCACGTCCACTTGAATCAATGCTTGCAGCATGTACACAAACATGTCGTTTTCTTTCTGCTACATGTTTCCAAAATGCACTTTCGACTTCATCAGCAGAAGCACCTTCAGATTCATTTCCAGATCGTTGATTTTCACCGAACCACATACGTTGTGTATTCCGTGCAATACGATAAAATGCATTTAACGGCATATTTCTACCCTGTAAAATTATATATTTTTCATAAATTAAAAAGAATTGCAAATTATGCAAATATTTATGATTTCAGAATTCTTACTTTTACAATACATTCCTCAATTTCATCAGAACTATCATCATCTTCTTCTTCATCATTTTCACTTATTGGTGCATTTTGCCTTTGTAAAGCTTTACTTTCTCTTTTTATCCATTCGGATTCAACTTCATCAAATAATTTACCTCGTTCCTCTGCATTATATTTTTTTATTGGTAAAAAATTTTAAAAAATTATATGGATTTTTGCATTTTATTTTTAATTTTATATACAAATACCTGGCGATAATGTATCATACGGTAATAAATATTTGCAATAAATATCATCTAATTTAGTTACACGATCTTGAGCAGATTTTGGTATTTTCATTCCATCAGCTACTTTTTGCCACTTCTTTTTTTCAATAACTTCTTTTAATCCACCTAAACTTTGAACTGTTTGATATAAATGAGGCAAGTCAACTTCCATTCCACCAATCTATAAAAATAGGATTATATTAAATATGTTAAAAAAATAAAATAAAATAATATGAAAAAAATTATAAATATAATATTCTACCCAAGGTGGATGAGTTAATGTTATACTTTGTGTAGCTAAATATTTTTTTATAGCCATCATTTCTTTCACATTAGGACCCCATCTATGTAGCATACGATGTACGTATTGGTTATAAGCTGTAAATCGCATATCATCTGATACTTTGCATTCCGGCTGAAAAGAAAAAATTATACTCATAATATATATATATTTATAAATACAATATATGTACTTAATCATGCAATAATATTCAATAAATTTTACTTTAAAATTAGGTGGTGGTATAACTCTGCATATTCCAAATTTTTCTGCAATTGGTCTTATTTTATCTATATATTCTAAAGGATCTTGGAAATCTTTTTCACTTGGATGAAATGTTGGAGCCTCAACTAATCGTGCTTCGTTATTTTCATCTTTTGCATTTGGAAATGTTACATTATTAGTTGGAGAATAATTTTCAAAACCTTTATGTTTTGTTTTAATTTGGCATCTAAAATTTTTTTATTATTATTAATATAATATAATATTTATTATAAAAAATATAAAAATTAATATTAAAATATTTATTATTAATATTGTAATTTAAAGAAAATGAAATTACAATTTTTTTTCATATTAAAATTACATTACCGTTTTCCATTCTTATTTGAATCAATTGAAGTTTTTCTTTCTCTAGAAGTTTTTGGAGATTTTGGTAATTTTTCAATTCCTATATTTAGTGCAGTTCCAATAGTTTGTCTACTTGTTGTTTGTAGTACATTTTCATTTTTACTTAAAGAAGATGATTGAAATTCAGAATTAGATGTACTAACAATAGATGTAATATTTGAAGAAGTAGATGGCATTGAATGATCAGTTGTTATAAGAGTAGAATTGGGAGGGCTACGAGTTGTAGGTTGCACTGTACCTACAGGAGGACAACGTGCTATTGATGATGGAGGTTTGGTAACTAATTTTGCTCTTAAAAGAACTTTTTGATTAGGACCATTTGGTCCTTCAGTGCCAAGTTTTACAGCTACACCTTGAATTAATTGCTGTCCTTGAATTAAATTTGGTCCATTTCTTGTGACAGCTAAAGGTATATAAAATAGTTGACCATCATTTTCATCATCATTTTCATTATTGCTCTCAGTTTGAGTAGATATTTCTGTACTTTTTTGTTGACTTACGTCTCCTTCTATTATTTGTTTTTGTGTTTGTACATTATCATCAAGATTTACTTGTACTGCTATTGATGTACTACAATTTACATTACTCCAAGTTGTTGTTAATTTATCAAGTGGTAAAACTTGTATATTTGCTAAAGTTGCAAAATTTTTTGGCAATTCAAATTTATTTACATTTAAAGTAGTATTTGATATATTTTTTATTTCTATTATTTCATTTTCATTTTTTGAAGAATTATTGGAATTTTCTTTAAATATTCGTTCACAATTATTTTTGCTTGCTTTTTCAATATTTTTATTTACTTCATTTTCAGATTTATTTGTTATATTTTCGGATTTATTTGAATTATCAAATTTATTTGTGTTATTTTCAAATTTATTTGTATTATTATCAAATTTATTTGTATTATTCTTAGATTTATTTGTATTATTTTCAGATTTACTTGTGTTAGTTTCAGATAAATTAAAACTTGTGTTTGATTTATTAGATTCTCGAATTTTACGTCTAAAAGGAGTATTAACGGGAACTTCTGTATCACTTTCAAATGCATAAACACTGCTTTCATTTTCTGGAGAAAATGCATTTGCATTAGGAGTTACTGTTTTACGTTCTTTAACTTTTGGTAAAAATGGTTTCCTTGGTTGAAATATAGTTTTCTTTTCTGTTAATAATTTTTTCTCATTTGAATTATCTGAAGTATGATCAGATTTTAATGCAATTTCACCTTCTTCTCCAGAACATGAATCTTTATTCAATTTTATATTTAATCCTTTATTTATGTCTTTAAAATTTGTATTATGTTTATTAATATTAATATTAGATAATAACTCATTGTGTTGTTTTAAATCTGATTGCAATTCTCCTGCTATAATAGGGGCATATTTATTATATGTATTTATACGATCTTTTATATTAGCCTTTTCTGTTAGTTTAGAAAGTGTGACATTAACTGGTCTTACCAAATGTTGAATTTTTGTTGAAATTGATAAATGTGATATATCAGTTTTTTTTTCACAAGCATCGTATTTGAAAGTAGATACATTCTCCATTTCTAATTTACTTTCTTCTTTAGCAAGTGAACTTTCATTCAACCATTTTTCAATTTGTTCAGTCGACATATTTACTTTTTCTTTCCTTATATGTAATGTTGATAATGACATATCTATGGAAGAAATTTCTGTTTTATGATGACATTCTTTTTCGTTATTTTTTATTGATATTTTATGTTCTATTTCATCAGATACTAAATCAGGCAATTCCAATTTATCCTTTTCAAGTTTTTGATGATTATCTACTACATGTATCATTGAAGAAGAACTTGTATTTAATAGAGGTTCATTATTTGACAATTCTTTTTTATCTTCTTGTTTATTAGTTACATTTGAAGTTTGTTCATCTTCTATTTTAGTTGTTTCTAATTTGTCATTCGATTTTTTTGTGACAAGAAGATTAACATTAACATGTGTTTGACATGAATTTAATACTTTGGATATTGCTTTCTTTGTAAATCCTCGAAAAGATTCTTCATCATCTGATATTTTTGAAAGATCAGTTTTGACTAAATTTTCTTTTAAAGATTGTTCAATTTTATCTTCACTTTTATGATCATTATTTTTATTAATAATATCTTTTTGTATATTATCATTCTTTTTTCTTTTTAATTTATTGAGTAACATACCTAATGTTTCTTCATCAGAATCTGTACTTTCAATTACAGTATTTTTTATTTCTTTTTGTTTTAATCCATTAATTTTTTCAGATAATGATTTATTCGTATTCTGTTCTCGTTTACGCTTCATTACAAATTTTTCCTTATTAAATTTTAAATTATTTTGAACTTGAGATTTTGGTTTAATGTTTACATTATCTTCAATTTCAATTCTTGTAGTCACATTTTTAGTAGAAGATCTAAGATATCGGTTTATAGGTTTATTTAATTTCCCTAAACTTCTTCTTGTAACAGGTCTTGTGTTATTAGTTCCATTGGAACTAATAGATTCTTCATCACTATCAACTTCACAATATTTATGGACTCTTATTAATCTTTTACTTTTAAAAGTAATTTTATTTGTTTTAGTTTTATCCAATCTTTTATTTGATGTATTATGAATAGAAGAAATTTTATTATCTTTATTTTTAGTTGTTTTTGTAATAGATTGTTTTACTTTACTTTTAATTTCATTTTCTGTCTGAGAAATTTTACGTGTATTTGGTAATTCTGGAAAACTATCCATAGAAACATTATCGTCATTTTCTAAATCAGGACTTACAAGTTTTCGACCCAAAATTTCCATATATACTGCAGCTGCTTCTTTAGTTTTCCTTGTTGGTCTTCTACAAAGATTTTTTGGAGAAATTGTACCACTATGAGAACGTGTAATTCTTCTCATTTCAGATTTACTTCTTGTACATATATTTTTCTGAACAGTCTTTTGAATTGTACGTTTCATCTGTGATACTGATTTTTCTGAAGGACCTTCTTCTTCAGATGTAGAATCTGAATTTGATGTATCACTGTCTTTTTGTTTCATTACAATTTTTTTCTTTGGTTTAGGTGGTATAGATTTAACTTTTGATGGACCTTTTTTTGTTTTATCTGCAAGCACACTACTTCTCAAACCAAGTCTTTTAGTCTCAATTCTTGGTAAAAATTTTCTGGGTGCTAATTTATTTACAGATTTTAACAATGTTCGTTCTGTACAAGATCTTGTTCTCATAACACATGATGTTTTAAATTTATTTTTAATCCTTTGCTTAGCAAGACGCTGTTCTTGATATTTTTTTTTAAGTGCTTGTACAGTAGATGTTGTACTTTTAAATGTTGAAATATTTTTTTTTATTGTATTTGGAACTTTTTTTTTATCAGTAATAACAGGTTTTACTTTAGTAGTAGTTTTCTGACTTGATTCTGGCTTTTGATTTTCAACAGATATATTAGTTGAAGTTATATTTTTATCTATTATAGTACGTATTGGCTTAGGATCCAATTTTTCTTTTTTGTTACCAACATTAAAAAAATTTAAACTTGGAGGTAAAATTGATGTTCCTATACAAAAATTTGAATTAATTATTATTATTAATTATATTAATTATATATAAATTATATATATATATAATTATATTAATTATATTAATTATATATAAATTATATATATATAATTATATTAATTATATATATAAATATAAATAATATATAAATACATACAAATTATATATAATTAATATGAAATATAAAATAAAAGATTAATTAAAATTAATTAAAAACCTCTAAAGCACAAAAATGTCAAAAAGTCTTCTGTATTTGGTCGCTTATGAGTTATTAATTCTGTTATAACTGCTGGCTTAGTTTTTTCTTTATCCTTAATAGGAGTATGTGAAGGATTAAAAACTGTTGTTGCACCTTGTGCAAATTTTCTTTGTGCATGTACTTTAGTCCTATAATAATAAAATATATATAAAAAATGAAAAATAATAATAAATAAAATAATTTATAACTATCATAAATAAATAAAAATTCTTTTAAATCATTGAAAAGTATATTTTAGAAATTATTATATTTTATTTATATTATATGAATATTTATAATTGTATGAAATATATATATTTTTATACTAAAATAGTTATTAAAATACTTAAATATTTACCTCTTTGGAGATTCTGAGAGTGGATCCATAAGATCCACCAAATCTCCTTCCTTTCTTTTTCTTTTATCATTTCGACTTAATACCATTTTTTAACTTTATTAAAAAATATTTCTGTTAATTAATAATAAAAAATTGATAAAAATATGTTTATTAATATTCGAGTATAAAAGATTATTACCTGATCAATATCTTCATTTTTATAAAAACTAAAAAAAAAGTTAAAAAATATTGAAAAATACTGTATTACATGAAATAAGATATAAATCTTATCATAAACAATAAATATATAACATAAAAAAAATTTTGAAATTTTTATATCGAATAATTAATGATATAAAATTTAATAATATTTAATAATTAAATCTTTTTAATGTTTTAAATAATTTAAAATATTTTTCATTCAAAATAGATAGATGATGAAGAATTAATGATACACAAAATCACTTAACATCTGTTCTTTACACTGAATGAATGATTGTTTATTGTGTCAAATATGATTAAATACCACGTTCTGATCTATGGTTTAGATACACATAGATATGCATTATAAAATGATATTGATTTCTCAAGACTTATCCACATTGCAAGCAATACATTGTATTGCATATAGTGCGATTTACTTTTCATATTACATTCAACCAATGAAAGTAATATATAAGATAACATCTATAAAATAAATTATTATTTCTTTTTTAAATATTAAATTTATATATATTTATACATTCAATTATTGATTATTTATTTAAGTAATTTAATTAAAACACAAATTAAAACATTTGATTTTTGAATAATCAATATTATTTTCAATGGAATGTTCATGAAACTTGTGACCTGCCATCTATATATAAATATAAAAATATTTGTTACCTTTTTCGTGTTTATACTTCAAACCTATTAAAATTGTACACATGGATTATATATTTAGATATTACTCATATACTGTTTAAATAATTAGTGAATAATTTACTATTTTTTTATTAAGGTAAGAAAAATTATAGTATACTATTTTTAGATGAACGTTAATGAAACATTATCGTCATTTGTTATGCTTAACATAATAAACTAGAATGTGTAAGTGTCAGTTGTGATTGTGACATTAAATTTCGTAATTAATCAATTGATATTAAAAATATGATAATTATTTTATTGCTTTTAATGAATAATCATATTTTGTAATATAACATAGATTTTACAGTATAAATATACATATTTTTTTATAATCTTAAAAGGTAAATTGTTTTATTATTAATAACATATTTGATTGTATGAAAATATTTCTAATTGAGTCAATAATAAATTATATAAAATTTATTTATTTCGTTTATATGTTATTATAATGTAATGAAATTTTTTAAATATATTTATTTAAATACTTGTATTAAAATACTTAGGATTATAAATATACATTAATAATTTCATTATTATTCATTGTTATTCATTTACATATTATATAACTATATTTAATTATAGATAGATACTTAATAATTCTAATAATACACCATGTATAATACTGGACCACCACCACCTTATGAATCACCTCCATATGCACCACCTGGTTATTCACAAACAGTGGGTGGTGTTCCACCTGCTAGTCCTTTTACATCTGCAGAAACCTGTATGTCTTAGTTTTATTTTGTACAATTACATTTATATATTAAAGATAAATCATATATATTAAAAAATTGATTTGTTATAGATACAAGTGGACCAACTATAGTAACAACAATTGTTCCACTTGGACCAGGATCAACACATACAATTTGTCCACATTGTCATGCAGAAATTGATACTACAACGAAAACAGAACCTGGAATGATTGCTTATATATCTGGTGTAGTAATTGCATTAATGGGGTATTTAGAAATATTTTTTCATTCATTAATTTAATATTGATTAAATATCTTATATATCATTTTTCATGTAATTTTCAAGATGCTGGTTTGGATGCTGTTTGATTCCATGCTGTATTGATGAATGTATGGATGTTCATCATAGTTGTCCTAATTGTAAAGCTTATTTGGGACGTTACAGGAGATAAAGTAATACAATAGTATTTATTGCATTTTATTTTAAAACTATTTGAAAGTTGCATTATATATTGATATATAATATAGAACAATTTTTAATCTTTATTAAAAAATATTTTCAAAGTTTTAAATATACACAATCAAAGTTAAATATTTTTCACATAGAAGTTTGATATGTAAATGCACAATACAAAGTTGCATATGATATTACAAATATATTTGATACTTAACACTTTTAAAAGAAGTCAATAATAATATGGATTTAAATATTAAATGAAAAAGTTCCTAAAGATTAATTTTTCTGATATGCTTATAAACTTTTTCATTAAAAAATACAAAATAATTGAATCAAATGTACAAATGATTATAAAATTTATTAATAATTTTGTTTATAATAAGTATTACATAAAATTATATTAATAAATTTTCATATGTAACATATATATAAATTACTTTTTAATTGAAACTATTTTGAGTATTATTTTTGTTGGATACATAAATATTATAAATATTTCTTTACTTAATGTACTAATGACTGACAACAAATATAATTAAAAATCTATTTTTTTAAATTGTTAAAAATATTGAACTTACACAATTTATATCTTATATTTATAAAGTTTAATTTAATGTGTGTATATATATATATATATATATATATACATAATATATTAATAATAATATATTAAAAATATCTTTTGGAAATGATGTGCACTACTGTTTTTTTTACAATGGTTATAAAAATTGTATGTTTTTAGACAAAAATAAATATTTTATAATTAATATAATATATATAAAAGTAATATATTAAAAATTTATATTTTAAAAATAAAATATTAATTAATAATATCAATATAAAATAAAATTAATGTATTGCATATTATATATAATTAATACCCATTTTTAATTTTTAATAAAAATAACAATGTAATAATATAAATGGAAATATATAATATATATATATATTCTTATATATTTATATAATATTATTTATACTTTTTATAAAATATTTTGTTAGTACAATATTGTACAAAATATTTATTTTCAATAAAATAATGATTTTTATTTTTTTTATAAATATATAGTATTTGTTTTAATTATTTGTTTTAATCAAAAATTAATTATTATATAATTTTTATAATATATTTTTATAAATAAATATTGTATTTTATAGAAATAATATTATTATAAATGAAATATGAAATGAATTTAATTTTTTGAATTACCCATATTGTTTTTAACTATTAAGTTTTCAATTTTTTATATTTTTATTTTTATATAAGATTAAAATTGCAATTTAAATAAATATAAAATGGATAAATTGATAAATTAATTATAATAATATATATAATAAATTGAAATATACTAAGTAAAATTAATAAGAAATGATTACATTTATGAAAATATATAAACTCTAATAAAGATTTTAAATTTTATTTTTAATACTTTATGATACTTAATGATACTTTAAAATAAGTATGAGACGACAATATCGCAGTAAATCGTCTTGCGTTCTGTAACAATCTAACCTTAGTAGAAATATGATGATTTATAAATTTTATATTATGTAAAAATTTATGTCTTTATATTGTTTTTATATACAAATTAGTAAGAAATATTAAATTTAGTTATTATATATTATATATTCTATAACAATGTGGTATCATTCGAAATTATTTTGTAATAAATTTATAACTAAATGGGATAATTTTGTTTTTTATAATTGTAATAAAAGAATAAGATATAGTAGTTCAAAATCTAATATAACAAATGAAGATGTTGATCTTCCTAAGGAAACAAAAGTTGTTATATGTGGAGGTGGTGTTATGGGTGGTGCAGTTGCTTATCATCTTTCACTTATGGGATTAGGATCTCAAACTATTATAATAGAAAGTGGCAGGTAAATTTTGTAATATGTTTTAATTTAAAATGTTTTATATTTTATGAAAAATTTATTTTCATATATTGTTGAATTTAGATTAGGAGGAGGAACAACATGGCATACTTCAGGATTAGTAGGAGCTTTTAAGCCAAGTTTAGCACAAGTTAAACTTGCCCAAGATAGCATAGCATTATATAAAGAATTAGAAGAGAAAGGTTTATCAACAGGATGGAAACAATGTGGTAGTCTTTCTTTAGCACGTACAAGAGATCGTATGACTGTATTCAAACGAATGAAAGCACAATCTATGTGAATAATTAATAATTGTAATTATATAGATAATTATAATAAACTATAATTGATAATATAAATATTTTTAGATCCTACAATATTGAATGTAATTTAATTACACCAAAAGAAATACAAGAAATATGTCCATTATTACGAATAGATGATTTAATTGGTGGATTATGGATTTCAGGAGATGGTGTAGGAGATCCATATAAAATTTGTTTAACACTAATAGAAGAGGCAAGAAAAAAAGGTATTTGCACTTTACTTTCATATTATGATTAAATTACAAGATATATTTAATTTTTTTTTAGGTGTTAAAGTATTTGAAAACTGTAAAGTTACTAAAATTGTTACACAAAATAATAGAATTAAAGCTGTAGAAACAAATCATGGTACTATTGAATGTGAACATTTTGTTAATTGTGCTGGATTTTGGGCACGTAATGTAGGCAAATTAAGTGAACCATATGTGAAGGTTAAATATTTTTTCTATTATAAATAATAACGAAAAAAATATAATTATTAAATAATTTTAATTCTATATGTTTTTTGTAGGTACCTCTTCATCCTGTAGAACATTATTATTTGCATACAAAATCAATTAATGATTTAGATCCTATGACACCTGTTATAAGAGATTTAGATGGATATATTTATTTTCGTGAAAATAATGGAAGTTTATTAGCTGGTGGTTTTGAACCAGTTGCAAAACCAGCATTTGAAGATGGAACAATACCTGGTTAGTTATAGATTTTTATTTATTATTCATTTTATATAAATTTAAAAAATATAAAATAAATTTTAATTTAGAAAGTACAGAAGAAAGATTTTTACCAGAAGATTGGGACCATTTTCATATTTTACTTGAACAAATGCTTTATAGAATTCCAAGTTTAGGAAATGCAATTTTAGAAAAATTATGTAATGGTCCTGAAGCATTTTCTCCAGACTGTAAATGGATAGTTGGTGAAGCACCAGAAATACGCAATTATTATATTGCTGCTGGTATGAAAACAGTAAGTGAAAATAAATTAAAGTTTATTCATAAATAAATAATATAAAATTTTCTTAGGTGGGTATATCAGCAGCAGGTGGAGTTGGTCGAGCAACTGCAGAATTAATAGTTAATGGTTCAACATCTTTAGATGTATATGAATTAGATGTATCACGCTTTTTGGGACTTCATAACAATCGTAAATTTTTACGTGATCGAGTAAAAGAAGTTCCTGGAATGCATTATGCTTTACAATATCCACATCATGAATTTAAAACTGGTAGAAATTTAAGAATGTCTCCAATTTATCCAAAACTTCGAGAAGCTGGAGCTATATTTGGCCAAGTAATGGGATACGAACGACCATCTTGGTTTCAATTAAATGATGATAATGGTAGATTTATTAAGTTTTGTAAAAAAACTATAATTTATGAATATAATATTATTTATTACTATATTTGTATTATAAAAAAAGATACTGGATTTTATTATACAGATTAATTTGCTACACAGATTTAGAGACAATTGATGGATTTCAAAGATGTAAAGTAGCATACACAAATACATTTAGTAAACCTCCATGGTTTGAGTCAGTTTCAAATGAATATGCTGCATGTCGTGAATTCATTGGATTAAGTGATTATTCTTCTTTTACTAAAATTGATTTATGGGTATGATTCATTATTATAAATAGATATAAATATATTATATTATAAATATATAAAAAATATATCTATATTATAAATACTATATAATATATATAATATATATTAATATATCTATATTATAAATCTTAATTAGATATATAATAATAATTTTTTAATTCATATGTTGTTTTAGTCAAATGGAATGGAAGTAGTAAATTTTTTACAATACTTATGTTCAAATGATGTAGATGTTCCAATAGGAAGTATTATTCATACAGGTGTACAAAATTATCGTGGAGGCTATGAAAATGATTGCAGTTTAGCACGAATTGCTTTCAATCAGTAAGTTATGCAAATAAATCATATATATATTGATAAAAAACATAATTATATAATTTATTTTATTATTATATATAGTTATATAATTACTTTTTTGATATTTAAGTTACATGATGATTGCACCTACTATTCAACAAACTCGATGTAAATATTGGATTAATCGTCATTTACCTGTAGATGGTTCTGTAGCAGTATCTGATGTAACATCAGCATATACAGCAATTTGTATTATGGGTCCTGCTACTAGACAATTATTATCAGAATTAACAGATACTGATCTAAATCCAAAAAATTTCCCATTTTTTACATTTAAAGTAATTATTATTTAATTTTATAATAATTTTAATAATAATTCATATTTAATTTTATTTAATGTATTATATATATTTTTTAAAAGGAATTAGATGTTGGTCTTGCTAATGGAATACGTACAATGAATTTAACTCATACTGGAGAACTTGGCTATGTTTTATATATTCCAAATGAAGTAAATATTATGCTTTAAGAAATATCTTTTTTAAATTGTGATTTTTATTTTATTTAATATTATAATATTTATATATTATGCATTTGTAGTTTGCATTACATGTTTATACAAGATTAGTAGATGCTGGTGCTAAATATGGGATAAAACATGCTGGGTACTATGCAACTCGAGCTTTACGAGTTGAAAAATTTTATGCATTTTGGGGTCAAGATTTAGATACCTTTACTACTCCTTTAGAATGTGGACGAACTTGGAGAGTAAAACTTGATGTAGCTATCTTTACAATTTATATAATTTATAAATAAATTTATAAATTTTTGTATTGTAATAACATTTTAAAGCTATATGTTTAATAGAAAGGAATAAATTTTATTGGAAGAGATGCCCTTTTAAAACAACGCGAAGAAGGTGTAAAACGAAAATATGTACAGTTATTATTAAATGATCACGATCCTGAATTAGACACATGGTGTTGGGGTAGTGAACCTATTTTTAGAAATGGAAAATATTGTGGAATGACAACTACTACAGGTTATGGATTTACATTCAAAAAACAGGTATAAATTTAATTTTATTATATACATATTAGATATTATATATTATATTAGATTCATGATAATTAATAAATTTATATATTAGTAAATATTTTATATATTATT